TAGCTCTTCAACGGTTGTAGAAACTACAGTTTGAAGTATTCCACTTTTCTCTCTCAATCAAAATTTATAAATACCAATAAGAAAACATAAACTAAACCTTGTGTAAAGAAATTTACCAAGGCAAAAGAAAATAAAAACATTAAAGATGGTGAAACATTTTAGTAAATATAAGGAGGTATTTATTATTATTATTATTTAATTTTTGAATAAACTTAAATAGTTACAGGCCGCAAAGGATTTTGTTGTTAGGCCAAAAAAGAAATACTTTTTTCGAGCTGACGAATGTATTAAACATAATGCCTTTCAGCTTTCAACATTTTTAATCGAGCTAAGCTGAACTATAATCTGCAAGAGTGTTTGAAGTTTCAGTTAACCTTTTGCCTCTTGATTTTTTCATAAGTTTCAGCTTTCAGTTTTTCGGTGAACACATGTCAAGGCATTTAAGATTTATATTTTTTCTCGATTTTTTGCCGGACCTTGCCCGCAGGCGAAATTGTTGAGCTGCTCCTGCTCCATTCTGCCTGCTGTGCGGTGTTTTACATGAATATTTGATACGGCAGTGGGGCTTTTGGGGGCTACAAAACGGCCATGTGCATGCAATGCTTTTTTAACGCGCTTTCATGGTTAGCTGCATTCAAGTGGGGATCTGCCTCCGACCGAGCAACTCTCAGTTCTCCCTTTTTCGGGGCGTTTTAATTGTCAGGCCGTATTCGGGGACTCGCTGGCAATTGAAAAGGATTTCGGCCTTGTTCAAAAAGAGGATTAGGCAGATTCAGCAGGATCTGTTGGTTGAACTATAGTCTGTTCTTGAGCTAAGACCGCCTCGAATAATATTTTATTGGAGCATTGTCAGGGCAAATATTTATTTCCAGTTGAAATTATTCATGTTATATCAAAACTTTGCACTCTTTTCTATGAATTCCCCCTGCACCAGTACGCAGAGCTAAAAAAAGAGTACAAAACAAACAATGACTAAACTAAAATGGAGAACCGAAAGCCAACAAAAAGGCAGACAAACTCTGACTACGACAAAATTGCGACCTTTCCATTGTTACCTTGGTCGACTGGCACGGAATATCCTGGCCACAAGGAGCGCTCAACGCTGCGTATGAGTGATGCGGGCATTTTTAAATTATGCACGACTTTTTCCGCTCTCATGTGAGCAAGCAAATTTTCCACACAATAAAATTGTTCACACTTTTTATGCACAAAGGGGCGACAGGTGAAATACCTGAGGTTAGATCCTTTGTCCGTATTCAAAAAATTGGAATGCTTGAAAATTGAAAATTCAAGCCTTTAATTAAGGCTCGGCTTGCGGCCAATTGCCTTGATACATTATGAAAATGCAGCTAACGAACCATGAAGAACCTTGACATTTTCCGGTGGCCAAAACCAACATTCTGTTCGGTCGCCTGTCTGTCACTGGCTCTTTGATAAGCCAAATGTGCCAGCACACATCGTCAACAGCGACACAGCCACAAAGGAACGCCCCCGAATGCATATTGGCCAATACTACCATATATGTGTAAAAAATAAACCATTCCAAAATGTTCATTTGGAACTGAGTGTAGAGGGATACTGAGTTAAACAAGAGTTAAAATCGATTAAAATTGAGTTACAATTGAGTTGCATACATATAATTTTTGTTTTTTTTAATACACCAATAATAATATTCCAATATTTTATATGCCTAAAGAAACTAAATGGTATAATACACATTATCTATTGCCTTCCATTTATTTGAATAGTATTTCAACTTTTTATCTCTATATTAAAGTAATACAAATCGATTAAGAACCATCTTAACTTAAAGCTAAAGCTTCAAACCCTTGAACATTTATTATGCACATTTAAAGCCTCCGTTCTTTCGGTCCTTTGAAATTGGCAACAAAGATTCCGGATAGTAGGCAACGATAAATGACAAAGCTAATGCGCTTTCAGCGCTCCGGCAAACGCACCACGGAAATGCCATGGAAATGCCATCGGAATGCCACTCAGGGATGGCTGGCAAGGCATTTGGCTGCTGCCGGCGCCATCTGGTGCCATAAATGTCTGCACATTGTTGCAGGTGCAGGTGGAAGTGGCGGTGGAAGTGCCAGTGCCACAGTGCTGCGGGAAAATCTGCGGGAAAGCGCGGAAGAGGGCAGAAAAGCGCGACGTGAGACAAGCTGAAAGTCGCCTGCAGCTTGAGCTTGACATTTGCCTGACAATCGAGCGACACATTCAGCCACATTCGCCCTCGGCGTCGCGGATTTTTCCGCTACTTTGATTTTGAATAGCTCACTTACTTAATAAATGCCCGAGCCACGGTTTTTTATTTCGGCTGTCCCCTCGGTCTGCGCTAATGCTGTGCAAATTCAAGTCCGCATTCTTGAGGATTCCGTTTTACGACCCGCACTCAGATTAGATCATAATGCATAGCGTGCTATAACTCACTTTCTAAAGTGGATCGTGATAAACAAGTGAAAGGTCTGGGAATTAAGTATTTGCTTGGTTTTGCCAAGTGGAAAGCAAATACTCCTGGAGGAAACTTAAATTCAATAGAAGTCATTTAAAAGAAAGGATATTTTTTTTTAACTAATTATGCAGTTTGAACAAAGTCTTGATTGTCACAAAAAAAAATTGTTGTCTTGTTCTCGAAAAGTAAAAATTTTGTTTCTGCTTTGAAAATACAATTAGTCCTATCTACTTGAGAATACATTCAGAATCAGTTACAATTACTGGGAAGTTTAAATATTTTTAAAACAAACAGACCAATTTTATCACAGTATCTTTTCCATTCCATTGCGTATCTTTTTGAAAAAAAACGTGTCAGCTTATTCTCATTCATCTAGTTAACTTGTGGAAATTTATTTCGCTTGGCCCAGTAAACCACACTTAACTTTGTGCCCCCGCCCTCGATCAAGTGTTGTTTATTACGGACCGAGTGTTTCTCAGATCTTTTTGGCGCAGAGAGCTTGCCGACACAAATCTACCTTGAGAAAGCAACAATCAGTCCCCCAAGGCCACAACAGCAACAACAAGGCAAAAAGTTGGCAAGTAAATTTATTTATTGAGTCACTTACTTGCCAAGGAGGAATCCCTGTCGCCCTGCTAAGAGGGAATGTGTGTGGCCTGAATTTATGTGTCTTTTGGCTGCTGACTTTCACTTGGCTTTCAACACATACGCCTGGTAATTGTATTAAATTTCAATTAATAAAGTATGCGCTTACGATGTGTGGGAGCGAATTTAAACAAAGAAATTGTTTATGTCTTCTTTTATTTTTATATTTTATATGCCGCAATGCATCGATAAACTTAAATCGGCTTATATTTTGTTATTCCTTTTATTGTGGACATGTTGACAATTGCTAAACTCAGTAAAAATTTCTATTTATTTTGAAATATTAATCATTTGGATCGACCCAACCATTTTATTTTGAAAAGTTGAAAATTTAAGGAAAGGTTGAGCCTTCAGTTGAGGTATTTACGAGTGGGGTACAAAATATTTTGTTTAGTTTAAATTCGTACCTCACTCATATTAGATAAATTCCTCGATAGGTATTTTTCCCCAAGGGCTTCGGGAGTAAAGTCTTATGGAAATTATTTTATTTTTTATGGCAATCGATGTGAACTTTGTGTTGGCTTTATTGTTGCTGCTGTTGTTTTGGGGCATATTCCAATTTTGTTGGTCATAAATTTTAGCGAGACGGGCAAATGAAAAGCACAGCGTAAAAGAAAATATTTAAATTTCCTCGGTCTCCCAATTCGTTGTTTTTTTTTTATTTTGTTTTTGGCAGCCCTTTTTTCCAGTTCGGTTAAAGGGGAGTGGGAGTCCTGTGAAAAAAATCTGCTTAAATGTACTTCCGTCATAAAATAACGGTAATGCAGAGCAATGTGCGTCTGTTGGTGTGGTTGTGCGTGTTGTTGTGTGTCTGTGTGTGTGTGTGTAGCGCACGTAGAAGGACGAGCAAGGAAAACCTTTTTATAAATGTTGGCTCGCAGCTTCCGCAAAATAATAAAACAAAGAGGCAGCTGCCAGGACATCACCGTCCAAAGGCAACTGGCAAGAATGCTTTTAAATTTGACACAAGCCCCACATACACTCGGCGAAAAAAATTAATAAATTTGTGCAACAAAGTTGCCTTCAAGGCACCCAGAACGCCACCGACCCTGGAAGCCACTTCACCACGCTGCTCATTTGTTTATTTTAACTTTTTTTGGTCGGTTTTCATCCTTTTTTTGTGTTTGTTTTGATGGCCCAAACTCCGTGCGGCGACATTTGTTTGAAGTTTATTTTGCATATGGTATATTTCTGGTTGTGCCACGGAATTCCCGTTTGTATTATGTTGTTTATTTGTGTTTGTTGCAATGTCAATGCGACAATAAATGAGAACTTTATTTGTTTTGAAAATGGTAATTAGAAAAGTTATCCTTATTTTAGTTTAAAACAGAAATAAAATTGATATTTAATATACTCAACTATATTTCAATTGACACAACAGGAATTGGAAATTCCCTGTAAAAACATAAAATTATAATAATATTAATAATTTCAACATGACTTTACATAAATAATTCAGTTAGTGTAAGCTTATAAACTCGTAATTTAGTAACAGAAAAATGGTGTTGACAAATAACAAGAATGAAATTTGAAATGAATCTTCTTTTTAGAATTCATTTTAACAATCTCACTTCGCTTTTAAAACCATGTTAATCGATGCACAAAACGGAGAGTTCATTGGCTTACAACTTGGTCACAACAGAAACTAATTAAAATTAGCCAACAGGAAAACAAATTATCAGCATGAAATTCATTCAACTAAAAACAATAGAGTTTTGCGAACACATTTAGCCTCCTTTATTGGCAAATTATGTTAATTTATTTGGAGCAAATGCAGTGAGCGTTAACTTGGAGAGTTATTTAAAATGCCATTAGCACTGCGGCTAAAGTTGATTATAGTTTATATTTCCAATGACTACCCTAAGCAAACAAGATATGAGGATATTCGGTGGCGTACCTTAAATTGGCCTTCTGCTCAAACCTTTTTATTGTTCGAGAGGGTTCAGCGCCCCTGTCTGCGGCAATTGACCACTTCACTTGCAGCTCTCGTATTTGTTTTTATACATGAAGGTGTATTTTTATTATTTTCCTTGTAGATACGCCCACAACACACGTCAATTAACCTACTTTCGCGCTGGCAGGGGAGCTGGGCAAAAACCAAACATAATAACCACTAGAACAATGACCGCAATATAACGAATGGGCCAAGTTAATTTGCTTAGACCTTTGCTTCGGTTTTTGTTTTCTCTGCCTTTCGATTGCTTAAAGTATTTCCGGCAACCCACGCACACGAATACACACATACACCAACGTGGGGACACTTTTGCCGGCTTTTTTGCCTGCTTGCGCCAAAATCCAATAAAACTGTTTCAGAAGACCAAGTGATATTACTCATACGCCGCGTGTGCCGTCTAGCATGCACGAGTGACAAAAACGAACTGAATCTGATGGCGGAGGACTGAAACTAAATCGGAGTCAAAGTTGGTTTGCCAACAGCGCATGCGTCACTTTTAGTCAATGAAAAGCTTCGTGCCACAAAACATTTGCCGCCAACTCGACTCCGAAAATGGATTCGTTTTCGGAGAAGTCTGTTGCTGATGTTGCTGTTGTTGCTGTTGCTCTTGCTGTTGCTGGTCTTGCTAATGTTGTTGTGGTTGTTGTCGTTGTCAACGGCAACATAATCATCGGCGCGTGTTGCTCACTTTGTAGGCAGACGACGGGCAAGCCAAAAACACAGCATACAGAACGCACAACAATCCTGGCGCACAATTCGCGCAACGTCATGTCAACGAGACAGTCGAGACAAATGCCGCAGATCCCCGGCCGAAAAGGCCCCCCTTTCAGCCATTTCCATTTCGCGGCAACAAGACCGAGCATTGTCAATTGTCTTGTGGGCTTAACTTTCCTTTATTTCTGTGTTTTCCCTCTTTTTACGTTGTGTGTTTAATTTCTTTTATCAACAAGCTGAGGTCTGCGGGCCCCAGTACTCCTTGTCCTTCCTGTTATCCTTTCAATTGTCATTTGCTTGTTGCGTCGCCTACACTCGATTGGTTATCGTATTTCCGAGACGTATATATGTCGATTGGACTCGCGTCGAAAGCCCTTTGTAATCGCCTGTTAATTTGATGCATTGGTCTCGCTTCGGGTTTCTGTAACCTGCTTAACCTAATTGGGTGTTCTTTAAGGATTTTTTCCTGAAGTGCGCATAAAAAGTTATTATCAGAACCCATTAACAAGTAACTAGCAAAAAACTGAACTGAACTGAACTTTGTTAAGTAACAATATAAATTACTTTTTAAAAAGAAATCCAATCTCAATATACAATGATGTAAAACAGTTACTTATTTCGGTCGAAAATCTTTTAATAAATTTTTATTTTATAAGGGATAACGTTTTTTAATAAAAATTTTTAAAAAGTAAGATAATGTTACTAAATGGATTTTACTAAACTATTTCCTATCAATATAAAAAAAAAAATATTTAAAAAAACCAACTTTGATAAAAAAATTACTCACTCTACAACTACTCATTCTTTCCATATTTTATGAAGGAAAACATTTCTTTAACAACTATGTATTGAAATATAAATTATTTTTAAAATAATATAATATAAAAACAGAGTATGTTCCATTAAACGGACTTTACTGAAACATCAACTTGAACCCTGTTGACCTTGCGGAATGGACTTCATCCACGTTTACGGTCAGGTAAATCCCTTGTAATCGCCTGTTAACTTGACATGACGATGCTTAACTGATTTATCTGTCTCATGGCTAAGACCCAGGCATTGATAGACATGATGGATGGACGAATCGATGAGTGGCCGAAGACAAACGGGAGCAGGAAGCGATCCTTGAAGGATGAAAGATTGGACCCTGTTTTTGCCACTTTCCAAATTAATTCGCTTAGTCGAGCGTTTAAATTTAATGTATTCGAGCTGCTTGGCCTCGTCTGCAGCTAACGTTTTTAGTCGATTTGCACACCATCCAACTGCACTTTGTCTGCATCTTTACTTAGCCAAATTGCATCTTGGCCTGAACGAAGGCCTTCAATACTGGGCGCATAAATTGCGGTCTTTTGTATACAACATTTTTGATTTAGCAAGCAAACAAGATAAATTATGCAAAAATACACACCGAGTCGGCACCGAGATTGCCACTTGTTGAGATTTCCGCACTGGTTTGGGTCAATACAATACGTACATTTTGGCATTACACAATGGCATTATGCCTGATTATGCTCGTGTAAGTCCCGTTATTTATTATGAAAATCTGCTAGCTCAGAATTTCATTTAAAAGTTTTGGGTTCATGGCTTGGGGTCTCCACGGCTCAAGCAAATACAATTTGCAATTTCACAAATTTTACAAGGGGCGCAAATCTTAAATGCGCCGCAAAGTGTGCCGTATTCTGACCATGGCCAACAGGAGTGGCAGATTTAGGAGGCGAGTGGCGTCAGGAGCCGCTTAAGCCTCGGGCCGGGCCATTTTAATCCCTTTTAAATTGATATTGTAATTGGTTTCTGTATGTAGCTATGAATTTCAATATGTCGGCCGGGCTTTCCCTCTAGTTCCTCTATGTTTTCTATTTGTCTTTCACGTGTACTCATGTGTGTCCCGTGTGTTATGTATGAATTATGTGATTTTGGTGGCCTTAGCCCTCGAAAGCGTTGTGTTGGTCGGGATTATGCAAGGCAATTTCTGTTTGCCTTGTGGTGAGTTATAGTTGATATTTGACTAGTTTGCATGGGTATTGCGTGTAGCTATGGGGATATGGGTTTTGTATTTTTAAAACATTTTTAAATGACATTGAGCTGATTTTTATACTGACGGTTAGAGGCTCTGTAAGGTAAATAAATTTATAAGATCAAAAGAAATATTTATTTTTAAGTACCACCTTAATATATTTAGTTTCTGCTTGGTCAAATAAAGAGAGCCATTCAGACATTTTTTTAATTTCTTTTATTTATTCGGGGAAAAAGGATAGTGAGCTTACCTTTTACTACATTGGCTGAAATATTGTTTGGTTTATGGATAACCATTCCTTCCTATTGCGCACGTAGTGTTTACAGATTAAAACATTTTTTAATTTTAAAACCAAAATCACTTTCGAACTCCAGCAATAAACTAATTACATTCGAGCTATTTAAAACTTAAAGTTCATTTAATTTGCAAAGTTCAACACACAAGCTAATCGCCTCTTGAAACAAGCTTCCACATAGCCAAAACTATCAAAAACTTTGGACTTTAATAAGCCATAAGAACTTTGGTCTCAACTCCAAATCTAAGGCAGCGCAATAGCAGCAATTTATGGGAAAAGTATTTCACAACTCCACTCCACTCCGGCCACTCAATAAATATTTCACGACCCACTAAAGATGTCGGCAGACTTGACATCGCCACGCCGCTTAAGTAATTATGAATATGGAAACAATATCAAGGCGAGGAGCTCCCATCTTCACCTCGAAAACAAAACAAATGCGACTGACAAGGATCTTTTGATTGCGCTTGGGGGACACATTAAAAGCTGAAAATTTTACAGCCTACCGCCGCCTTCCTCCTTCATTTCCACAAAAAAGGGAGCAAGGTGATTTTGTCCCTCTAGTTTTTCTCGATGGGACTTCAGCCACACACAGGTTGCCCATTATGTGGTATTTGTCCTTATTTACCGTTAGAGGCCGCTCACCTGGATGCTTGGTTTATAAAGCACCTGCTTAACCCTAAAAGCGGAACCCACAATAACAAATAAGAAGGAAAGAAGCTGCACTGGCAAAAAAGTTTGTTAGTTAATTTGTTGGTTGTTATTATTATTAAAAAAAAATAAAGTTACTTAATGTGGAAGTTTATTAAAATACTTAAAATTCGCAATATTTTTTAAATACATCAAACAAAAAAATAAAAGTACCCTAATTATTCCTTTATTTTTTAGATTATTAGGACAAGATATTAAAAATGTATTTAATATATGTATTCATTTTATAAAAGTATGTGAAGGTCATACTTTTATTATGTCAAACATTTGTATAAAATGCATTTCGTTTTCTTGCATTGTTTTTTTTCTTCAGTGCACGAAAGTGGGCAACAGGAAGCTGTGGCAATAAAAGTAAATCCGTATTCAAGGTGCACAAGCCGACTAAAATCTTTTGGGAACCAGAAAGCTGCAGCGTCGACGGGTTCACTTTGGGCCAGCCAGCAGATTATGTATTTACAGTCAGATAACTCCCGTTATGGCCAAAGTTTCCCCCACCCTCGACTTCCCTTCATTGTTGTTGTAATAAGGTAACTGCCTAGATGATTGCCGTCAATTGTTGACCATGGCCCAAAGGCTCCAGGCCATATCCATGTGTGTGTTTGGGTGTGTGTGTGTGGCGAAAACCCAATGCTGAGTAAGCAAAAATCGGGTGGCGCCCATTTTGTTTATCTGCATAATAAACTCACCTCAAATTATTGAAGCCCGCATTTTGGACACGTTCGTGTCGTCGGCAGGTGAAACTCCCCAATGGGAAAACGACAGGTCTTTGGGGCGTTGTTGGCCAACACAAAAAGAGACTTGGGCAAACTCAAGAAAACTTCTCAAATTTCATATCTAAGTGCTATCCCCTTTCACTTCCCATAAATTTGGTCAACTATCAAATGGCTGATGAATATTGGGGCTAATGGAAATATATTTGTTAACTTAGTACCAAGGAAAAGTAAATTGCTGGGGAGAAATAAGTCAATATTAGTATATTTGAAATTACTTTAAATACGACCAAATTTTTTCAAATGCTTTCAATCCAATTTTATGTCAAACAAATTAACATCTTGAACTTTTGAGGAACCCCAAATTTTAAGGAAAAAATAAAAGGCAAACGGTTTCTTTAAGAAAATTTAACCAAATTCAATGTAAATACTTAATGTTTCTGCCACATGTGATCAAACCCAAAAAGTGCGGCAGCCAAAACGCCACGAAGTGTGCAACTATTTATGCACATGCTTAATGCAAAGTGCAGAGGTTTCCCAAAGCTGGCAGCGAATTTTAGTTTGCTTAAAAAATTAAATACCGTTCGTGATACATAATTCTGCACATGACATCTATGTCTGGTTGTCTGTCGGTCTGCCACTCTGTGGAGTTGCCATGGTGCGGCTTTTTCGGGATTCCCAGGCAGCCTGCAGTCAGAAATGTCACAGGCCATGATGATGATGACGCCCACCGCTTCTACGGGGTAAAATATTATTTAATGCCCTCTGACAGTTGAGTGAAGCAATATCGTTTACATGCATTACCTATATGCATATCGCTATGTGCGACCAGATATAAATATGAGGGCTTTTTCGGTGGCAGGGGCACTCAGACAGATTGCCGAAACGATGCGGCACGAGGAGCGGGGACTAAAATCGCTTTTAAGCCAACTTTTCCTTCTGCCTTCCCTTTGCTGTTCAAACCAAGCGAAATTGGAGGATGGGAATGAATGCCAGAAAATCGCTGGCATTTATGCTTGCGAATATTTTCGGCGGCGTCTGTCTGTTCACTTATTTATACATTTCATTGGGATCGGTATGGGTCTTTAATTAAATTGCAACACAGTTTTAATGAAAAGTCGCGGACGCATTGGCAGTTATAATGTTTTGTCACTCTTACAATATTTTTAATAAGAAAAGTACTTGGCTATAAGTAAAACTTTAATATCATCTTATTCCCAAAAAAGAATATTTTAAATACATTTTAAATGAATACGATTTAGTTCCTCTTTTAAAGAAAAAGAGAGTTTTTTCATAAACACTCCTGTTATTCGGAAGTGCATTTCATGGTTTTATGTTTATATTGGTTTTTATATATTCGTTTTCGTTCTTTTTGAGAAATTATCAGCATGAAACATATGAAAATAATGAACAAACCCAAAATAAACAATCGGCAATTGATGTGGCACAAAAACTTAAACAAAAATTACTGTAACTATTTTAGTAATGTTATTAAAAGAACAATTGCCATTTTAACTAATATTTATCCTAAATGCCACAATATTATTTTAGATAAGAGAAATTTAAAATAATATCTATATTATACAAAAAAAAAACATATCACATTTATAAAAACATCAAATGTATAGGATGCAATAAACATGGTTTTTATGTGTTTGAATGTCAATGACATGGAAAAGTGAACAAAAATTATACTTTAATTGAGGATTTAAAAAATGTAAAACAATCAATGAAAACATCGAGAAGCGTTAAAAAAGAAGTACATACATATATAAATGCCGTGTATTTAAACAATTTTATCAATTAAAAGCAATTTTACACAGAAAAAGGCAGCAAATCACCAATTACTATAAAAAAGCATTCCTCGCTTAAAAATGCACTGAAAAAGGACAAATTAAAACAAAAACCTCTCGACATATTTTTTGGGCCAGACACTGTTTTGCACACACAAATTGCCCACCATGGTAGTCGAATGAATTGGTAACCGAGGTGTGGCTAACAGGGGGCTATAGCCATATAGCCTCCTCCCCTGTCGATTGAATGAAATTTCACGCTGAAAATCACATTGTTTACCAGCGAAACAATTGCGAGACGATGGCGATGCGAAAAAAATACTCTCGCACACAAAATGAGAAAAAATAAAGTAGAAAAACGTAGCAACAGGAAAATATCTGACATTTGTTGCTGCTGCTCGTTTTCGTTGTTGCATGTTGATTTTCCCTCTTGATGCAGCCGTTCTTGTTGTTGTTGTTGTTTTTGTCGCCGCTTTTCCGGTTTTTGTTGCTGCATTTTTCCCTTCCTTTTGTTTTGGCACGCGTTCTGTACATGGAAACATTCGTTGTCGCTGATTGCAGACACGCATAAAGAGCTCAAAGGACCAAAGGAGTGTCTTGTTTTGACTATAGCCAACTTTGAAATGCCCTAGTTTTATTCAGCAAAAATATCGATATTTTTAGGTAATTAAAATTAAAAGGTATTAAAAATCAATAATTGATTTCAAAAAAATGACTCAAGCTTAGAGTATAAAATAAATAAATAATATTCTGACCTGACGAACTAAACCAATCAATAACCTTTAACCTTTGGAGCCAAGTACTACAACTTCCGTTCCTTTTATTTGATTTAATAACTTCAATGAAATTTTCTTTTTTTTTTCCTAGTTTTAGATCCCTTAAGAAGCAATTTATGTTTTTTTAAAAGGTCGACAATTTCAAAATTGTTTTCTCTGCTTTGCGCTACTTAATTAAAAATCACCTTAGCAAAAGACCAGCAAATGCATTACAAAACTTAATTTAATTATTTACTTTAAGATTAATCTCCCCATTTATCATGACAGATATTGACTTATGGCCTTTAGCAATCTAAAATTTATATAGCGATGCTAAAAGCAAGGCATATTACTATTTAAATTTCCTTTTCAGTTGGGTTTCATTCCGTTCGATAACAGAAAAAAAAACTGAATAATGAACCCGCACGCATGACGGAAAATCTCGGTTAGTTAACTGAACTACTCGGACACAAAAAGCTTAACTGACAGTTGGCAGCTTCCGTTTTCGATTACGGAGCCCATTCCCCCAATCTGGTCAACAGATGCACCGGCCAACGACCAACTACCAACGACCAACAGCCAACAGCCAACGACAATCGACCATTGACCACGTGGTCGGCCACAGGAGCGTCGGTATTTAATGGTCTCATTGCGGACAATGCCGGAACTGCCTGCCAATCGATTGGATTGTGCGCTGTGTGTGTGCCACAAATTTATGATTTCCTCCCTGATTGTTTTCAATGCATTTATTGAGTGCTCAAAATGGGCAGCAGGCAGTGACGATTTTGTTGACCTCGTAGCACTGCCCGTCGGCAGTGCAGATCAATTGGGTGCGGGTGGCTGCCCTTCCTCCAAATAACGCTCGATTCCAACTGCGGTAGACATCCGTGGCACTGATGCCGTAGCCATCCATCAGCCAGCTCTGCAAGTCCGCCGGAAAAGTCTCATACACCGGCACATTCTGAAATCAAAGAAGACAAGATTATTATTAAGGAATTCCGGTCACAAGTGCAGCAAAGGAATGAGATGTTTGGAGCCATAAGCAAGTACACAAAGAAATAATATTCAATTCAAAGATAATAATGTTATTTCAATTGTTGTAGTAAAAGTATATTTAAATACCTAATCTTGAGCTACAAACTTTGTAAAAGAAAGGTACATTTCACAAATTTGGTTAACTAGACGTATTTTACTCACGAACTTAATTGTTATAATTTTAATGTTATGTAAAACTGCACTCACAGATAAAGTTATTTTATTTACCAACTCTTTTTGAATTGATCATAATTTTTCCCTGTACAACTATCTCCTAGTTAACGGCCCTGCTGGTCATGACATTGTTGAGGAACCAGCCCGACAGTCCTTTTTTCTTGTTCTTCTCTTCCTGCGAAAGCGCACGGAAATTAATTTCCGGTGCAACGCTGCGTATGAGCGATGCGATGCGATATATACTGGCAATTACAAGTGCAAAATGAAATTAATAAGAGAGTGACGGCCGAAAGGGGATGTGCAAACAGGGGCGAGTTAGCAAAGGTACAACGAACGAGCGGCGATAAAAATGTGCAAGTTTGTCAACTAATTAAAAAGGGAAGCAGCAACATTGGCTGAGTTGTAGTTTGGGGAACAGGGAAATTGCCGGCAGAGGGACATTGGCAACTTAATTGAAAACTGCAGTAAACAGCGCCAAAGCAGTTTAGTCGTGTTATATATTTTATAGCCAAGGAGGGTTGTTGAGAAAGTTTGCCCTATTGATTTACAAAATAAACAAAAAAATGAAATAGATTTTTTAAAAACAAAAACATTGCTTACTTAGTTGCATTAAATATGTTTGGTTTGAACTATATTTGTTCATACATACTTACATACATACAAACTTATTTTCTCGCAATGACAAAAAATTATCATCTTATAAAATTATTTTTAAAATTAATTAAAATTATATTAAAATTAAAAACTTTAACATCCATATTGTTTCTTTATTTTTCTGATCTTGTCAAAATGAACTAAATTAAAAAAAAATACAACACTTTTAATTTTATTAATCTCAATTTCAAAAACCCAAACTTTAGTGCCTAACCCCATTTGATTGGCCTCAGTTGACTGACTGGGGGCGAAAATTGAGGCGTGGCAGGAAGGCAGAGAGTGTTGCATTTCCGTTGACGTCAGAGTTAAAGCAAAAGGTAAACTAAAGTTCCGTTTGCGAAGTAAGGACCCAAAGGCAGAATCGGCAGTGTATAAAGTTTTAGCCACCTAGCCAAAATCTGGAAGCGTGCTTAATAAATTTGAGCAGAAAATGGAATTTCACACTGCAGCGGAGAAAACCAAACATAAACAAACACAAACAGGTGACCGGTGACCGGTGGCCGGCTAATTAAATTTACCAATTAAACAGACAAACACTTGAGACACAAAAGAGCGACTTGGCCAGAAACACAAACTGAAAACGGAGTGTTCTTCGGCCTTCTCCAGACAAAGTCGAGTGCTGCTTTTGATTAGGTTAATTTGGCTGGCTGCAAGGCCCAGTAAGCACTTGCCGAGTCAACATCAAAGTTAATTAAAAACACATAAAAGCCATAAACATAAGTGCCGAGTTATCATGCGAGGAGGCGTGGCAGCGTCATTAAGTCACCATGTCGACTTAATTACGCAAACTGTCACCGAATTCATGCTGAGAGTCGTTGAAAAATGTCGCTGTGAAAAATGTGCGATAATTATTGCCACAATTTATCTCGACTAAACGCGAGGGGCCAAAAAAAAAAAAGAGAAGAATCTAAAATAACATAATTATTTATGACGAAGGAAGAGACGACATGCGAAAGAGGAAGCAATAAAAAGTAGGAAAAGTGATAAATATGCGGCACTTTTTCTCCACCCCATGCGTAATCACAGAATCCTTGAAGGAGCTCTTTGCGAAAAAGCGGAAGTCCTTTGTTACTTTTTGGCCGGGTTTAAAGCAAGCGCATAAATAAGCAGCAAATTATTGAACGTTAAAGTTGCCAAATCAGCAGTGGGTGCTAAGCTTCCGAAAGCTAGAAAACACTTTAAAATATTATTTTTATATGTGTAGTAAATTTGGTTAAATTTTTTATTGTTAAGGAGAAAGTTTTGTGATGACTAAGAAAAATTTTTAGCTAAATTTGTTTGTAAATTGCGGAGTCATTAAAAAAGATAATTGTGCAATTTAATTTAATTTTGTTTTTATTATAACAAATATTTCCCAGAACCTCACATTAAAATCTTGTTTTCTTGTTTTTTATTTTTTTATATAAAATTTTGCACTTTTTTCTAAGTATGGAGGACTTAGAGGCACATTTTTTCTGAGTGCACAAGTATGGCCTTGCCCGAGGCTTGCCAAACAAAACACTTTTCAATTAAGCAACTTGTCAGGCTGAGCGGCCACTGCCAAGACGGTTCTTCTGTTGGTTCACGCCTACCGCCCACGGCTGCCCGAAAGGCGAAAAGGTTTAACGCCAACAAACACACACACACACACTGAGAAGACACACAAATACACATACATCCCCCTGCAGACACAGATGCGAAGAGGAAGTCGCCTAAAGGAATATGGAAAACAAATTGATGGAGGTAGCTGGAACAAAATTTAAGCCAAAAAATACCCCTTAGGGGTACATAAAAATAGAAAACGGAAAGTGGAAAGGTGAAACTCAAATCATAATTAATTCAAAGGAATAAAATTATCTAAGTGTTATTGAATAACTGATTTTTAACATTGGCTTTGTTGTTTACCTTTTTAGTTTACATTTTAAATAAACAATTTTTTTTACGTAAACAATTTGTTTGGCAATTTGAACTAGAATCTATCGAACTTTGAATAAGATGATATGAGCTGACACAAACCGAGTGGCCAACTACAACACGACCGATCAGTTCGGCTGCAGGGTATGGCCCTTAAAAACGTGAAAAGGACGAAAAGAAATGCCTGGCATAGCATATTTACGTTGCATGTATTGCTAACGAGCTGAAGAATTATGACTCCATTAGGTGAGCAAGGGGGAATTCGGGTGTTCTGGGTGTTCCTCGGATTCTTAGAGAGTCCCCAGCATAGTTAGCCTTAAAGTTCCCGGCCATTTGCTTGTTGTTTTTTTCCTAGGAGCGCCTCGACTAAGGAAGTGACGCCATTTTGTGCAGATTACGCTTTGATGAACTCACTGGAAATGGCAGAGATAGGTGGCAGCGGTGGAAGAGGGGAAATTGGGGAAATCGGGATGGTCGGGGAAATCGGGGAGGTGAAAAGTGAGGGCCCTGGGCCTCCGACGAACAGCTGAGCCAGACATCGGCGTAATGACAACGTCAACAAGACACCAAGAGATTGAATTTACAGAACAAACAATTTTCATTTGCAGTTGAATTAAGCAAAGTAATCCCCAGTGGACATTTTCCGTGCCTTTTTCTCGTCTTCAGGAGTAAACGGAGGACCTTGGTTGCAGTCCAATTGGTTGGGCTTCCAACAGCCTAATGAACAGCGGTTTTGGCTCCGCAAAGTAATCCAACTGAGTCTCGGCTTGGCCAGAAATAATGAAGTCTCGAGTTCCTGAATTCATTGAATTTAAGGCTTTGTGTCAAGGAAGAGGTGTCTACATAGAATTGAAAAATAAATAAGAAACTAATACGACTTTGGGTAGCACTTTCGTTGCTTAACCTTAAAGGTATGTAAATGTTTGAATTTTAAATAAGATATGTCACAGGCTTAACCGTTTATATTAAAGGAACTGTTGTGACTTCTTAATTAATTTAAAACTTTTAATTAAAAGAGTCGGAATATAAAATGAAATTGTTTTGTTAAAACAAAATAAGTAAATTACTGCCAACAAAAGCAATAAAAATGTTTAAACTCAAACTTGGTTAGATTTTTGTATCTTTATCTTTTATTTATATGTACCTATTTATATATATTTTTTTTAAAGGATATAATACAACAAAAACAAATGGCAAAATGTATAAAGACATATTTAAATAGTTGATCTTGATGTTTTAGGCACCATCAATATTAAAGGTAATAATCTCTCAGTAAAATATATGCAACAAAATGGATCCAATTTATAAAAACTGGGGCTCTGTCACAACCATAAGGTTTTTCCTTATCAGTATGAAAAATATTTAAGTACAAAGCAACCCGCAAGGCGCTTATCAGTACCAACTAAAAACACAAAGCAAACTCCCCTGCTCTTCTGCTGCAAACCATATATCTCCCACTATCAGTGTCGTTTGTTTTGCATAAAATTTGCATTTATTTGTGCGGGACAATCTGCGAAATTGAAAGCAGATGTCTCAAAGCGAACCAACCAGCCACAACAGAAGCCACAGGACCAGCAACATTGCAAAATGCAGTAAGGAAAAACACGGAGATGGGGTAACCAAAATCGACTCTCAAGTCCAAGTTCCCTGGGGCAGAAAGGCAGTTATTTAAATTTTTGGCCAAACCCTCGAAAAATATGCTGCGAGTGAAAATAGAGCATGTACCAAGCTCAGGCATAGATTGTGGCCATCCTTTGCCGAAGATACCATCTCTTTATGCAAGTGCTAATGAGAAACTTTCGATGCATGCCATAATCCAATCTTTTTTGGGCCTCAGCTGCCTGCAATCTCGTCCAGTGAAATTGCTTTTGCTTTAAGGCAATTTCTGCCAAGTTGATGATGTGATTATTGCGGAGAACTATGAATTTTCAATCAAACTGATGCATTGTAAGGCAGGTACTAGATATCCTTTTAGAAACTCACTTGAAATCTGTTTGAAAGTTTATTACATTGTCACTTATTGGATGCCAAATGATATTTTTAACTAGTAAAGATTAATATGGTATAAAAAATCATGAATCAAGAAATATCTATTTATTATATTTTTTAAAAAGTACTAAAACTTTACAATTCTTACTCCAATTAACATATAGGATATAAATTAATGACTAAACATAAAAAATGTATAAGCTTGATAAATCTGTACCACATTGGTATACTTAAGGAGAACTATGCATTTTTAATCAAACTGATGCAATGTGAGCCCAACTAGGAATCCTTTTAGGAATTGACTTGAAATCCAGTGGAATGTTATCTACATACAGTCACTTAGTGAAGGCCCATTGATATTTTGTACTAGTTGTGGTGAGGTAGTACAGGAAAATCTTCTTCTCATAGAAAAGTCTTTTATATGTTTTGGCAAGTACTAAAAGTTTTCAGTTTCAAACTATTGTTAACACACAAAGTACACATTGATGGCTGCCTCTAAAAAATGTATTAAAAGCGATAATCTTCATGGCTCAATTTACACGCCGCTATTAACCATTGAAATTGAAAGTTTAGTGCCCGCCAAGATGTATAATCTGCAGTAATTATTTGGAGGGGTGTAATCCTAAACCAAATGATAAACTCGGCTCTGGGCTAAATCGGCTATTGCCCCTCGGTTCGATGGCAGCTGAAGGCCCTGATAAATCTTCAGCTGCTGCCTGATTGTTTTCAATCCGGGGAAGCGACGTGGCGTGCCTGCTGGCTGTAAATGAAATCCGGCGGCACTGGAGCGTGACCACGATGCGGTCACGTGCCTGGAGAAGCTCCTCCAAGGGCTCCACATCGCCCCTGAAAAACCCCCTTTCAACCGAAATGCAGACAGGCTCTGACAGATATCCGGGGCAAAGTTAAAAAAAATACACCATCCAAAAAGTTAAGCAGCAACAACAGCGTGATTTATGTTGCCAGGAATTATCTGGCTTACCGATTCCGAGACCAGAGCTAAGAGGCTAAGAGCCCGCTCACCTGAAACTCATTGGCCATTGCGGCCAGCCAGTTGGGATCCGGGCCCTCCAGCAGGAACTGCTCCTGGTCCTCGACTACATCGACCACCTCCACTTCCTGCAGCGTCGGCGGTTCCAGGCCGACGGCTGAATTTATGGCCGAAGCTAATTGGTACAGCAAAAAACGGGTACGACCTGCAATCACAATAAAAAAGACAGGGCTTTGAAAATGTACTGTAAGAAACAATTCCTAATTAACCAACAAAAAGTCGCTATAAAAGGTTTGCTATAATTCCTATTAAAAATAAATAACATAGGTTTTTTTAATAGGTTTGATAATATTTATTACAAAATACAGCGTTCTTATTTAAATAAAAGTACTTAAGTATGGAGTAAAAATAAAAATATAAAAGTCTTCAAAAAAAATACAGAAAGAAACGATTTCTATATAATGAACTAAAAGTCTCTGTTTCCTTATTCAAATCCTTTTGAAAACATAGAACTAAGTTAGACTTAAGTTTTTTATTATGCGCGTTGCTGTCATTTAAAATATGAAATTATTTAAATGACCTTACTCTAGTAATAAAATCAAAGAGAAAAATGCTTAATTCTGTAAAGATAAGGTTTCTTTTGGTAATCGAACCTTAACCACGTCTTCTATTTCAGTTGAGGTTTTTTAACTTAAGTTCTTTTGTGGTAAATCGTTTTTGAAAACTTTCTCTTTCTCACTGTAAGTCTCTTTTTTTAAGTAGTCTGGCTAAGCAAGAAATTTAATTTTAAAACACTCCAATGCGCCCGGCACCCACCCTCGAAAACCCCAAAGTACTCGAGTATTTGAAGCCTCCTCAAGTGCTGTTTTGTTCTCAGATTGTGCGCCAAGCATTTTGTTTGGGTTCAACTAGCTACTTACTGTCAGTTAAGTGCAAGCGCCACAGAAAACCAGAAAATGGCAGGGGAAAATGGCGAAATGCGGATGGGGAAATGCGATCCGCTCTTTAGGTGATTGGCAAATGCGCACATGAATCTTTGATAAGCGTCTCGAATTGCAGTCATTAGGAATTTCAGGGTCTCGAATGGCATTATGTCGACGGCAGCTGGCAATCAATTGAACATTTACGAGAACAATTCTTCTGCCCAATCATCAGGCCAAACGGACAAAATCAAATTGCTTGGCAATCACCTGGGAAAATGAAGAAAAAGGCCGATGATTGACAAAAGTCCAAAAACGGAGACCTTTTTTTTATAAAGGATGCTTCATTCAGCTTTGAATGACTCTCTAATTTCCGTTTCAATGGGTTAATACAAATAATGCAGCTAAAAAAATCGTTTTAAGAAGGAACAAGGATTTGATTTATGTTTATCTTTCCAAGTGCCTTTTAATGTTATTTAAGTATCAAACTTTCATTTTAATAATATCCATCTTTTTTTTAAGAGAAAAACCTTTTTTGATCTTCATTCCTTAATTTATTAAACGATTATTTTAATGATAAACATTATGGTTTTTATTAATATTATTTTAGGTTTTTAGATGAACCCTTAGATTAATGATGCCCTGGATTTCAGCCCTAAAAACTTATAATTAGGTTTTTATCCTTGACATTTAATACAAAATTGTTTGCACCTCCGTTGGCGTAGTGATTGCAAACTTATTTAATTAAGTTGTGTACGAATTATGCGCTTGTCACTCGAAACTAATTTCCAACTGCAGTTCAGAATCGCTTTGGCCAGGAACTTTTCGTTTCGTTTCGTTTCGTTTTAGTTCTTTTTTTCCGCAGCTTTGAGCTGTCGCTAAGTGCTGCTACTGCCATTTTGCCTAGAAATTCGCGTTACGCATACGCCGCGTTGACGTTAATCATACGCCATGTTTAACGCACCGCAAAAAAGTTCTCCGCTGCATCCGCGGCAATAAATCACACATTTTAAAGTTGAAAGTTGGCCGAAAAGCAAAACCAAAAATAAAAACACAACAGCGGGCGGAAAACAAATGCGACAACTGACCCAAAATGTCAGATGGCCAAATGGAAAGCGGCGAAATGGGAAAACGAAAGAGGAAAGGCCAGCAACAAAGTGAAGGCAACGTTTTCTTCTCTTTTTGTTTTTATTTTTTTGTTTTTTTGTTTGTTACAAAAGCGAAAGTCGCCGATGATGCAGTGGCTGCTGTTGAGTTAGTGTCAGTTGGCTGTTCACCGCTGTTCGCGGCCTGTTTGTTTTCGCTGGGTGTTTATGTGGGCCAAGTTGAACTACAGCATCATCACGTGACCACTAGAAATTTGCATTTTAATGGCTTCCCCGGCATTTGGCACTACTTATCCTCAATTGTGTAGAGTGGCAGCGGAAAAAGGAAGAGCTCGTGCAGACGGTGTCAAGGAGGAGCACGGCCAGTGGATGGCAACAATATGTGTTAAGTGTTGTCGTCGGCGCTTAATGATGCCAAGAATAAACTTCGCCCACACACCCACACACACACACTCAGGCAGCGAAAAGCAAAAAAAAGAGCTTAAATGTTATTGGAATAGGTATTTTAAATTTAACTTAATAATTTTGTTTTATAAAGACAGACAGTTACAAATTTAAATTTAATTTAACAAATAATTCTACAATTACAATGGTGGCAAATACTCATGTTAAATTTTCTCACTATATTCACTTTACAGATAAAAATAGCTTGGCGTTAGTAGATATGGAATCAAATGATTCTAAATTCCTTAATTGCATTCACATAATAAAAACGTTTGGGATTCTTTTGGATTTAATATCAAATGTTATTTAATTTATTTAGTATTTAAGGTTATTAGCTCGCTACATTAGTTAGCTATAGTGTTGAGCTTTACTAATATTTCTCAGAGTGTAGGGCTGTGTTACTGTGCTGACAACACGCGACGCGCAACAACATCAGCAGTAGCAACATGAAGCAACGCATCGGTAAACAAACAAACGATGGCGGCGACAACGCGTGACAAATGACACCAGCGACATCAAATTCCGCTTGCAACGTTTGCTGCAACGGAAACGTTGCAAGGCGGTAAGGTTTCGCATGGCGCGGATCAATGGTGCGACAAGGAATACAGGATGCGGGAAAGGAATGTGGATAGTCCCATTCCGAAGGTCCAAAGGGAGCGAAAACAGGCAACAAGCGGATATAGCGATTGTCGACTATCAGCGCCGGAAAAAAAACACGAAGAAAATAGAAGAATAACGAGAATATGAAGAAGAAGAAGTGGGATAATAGTGTCACACAAAACGCTCAGCAAGTGATAAGAGTACAGTAGTTACTAGATACGACTGACACAACTAGTAGTCATATTTAATATTATAGCAAAGTCATTTAATCATACTATTTACTTTTAACTTTTTTATTATATCTTTCATGATTTTTACATTTTTTATTAATCTAAATATATTTATAAACGTTTTAAATACTTTTCAATTTCTTAGCATTTGCAAAAGCTATAAAATGGGCTTAAAAGTTTTTGCTCTTTTTATTTTTTACCCAAAGTTGAACCTTTACTTGTGCACATATAAAATTTCCTTTTTAGCCAGAGCTCACATTAACATTTATGCTCGTTTGAGTGCCTACGTTTCGCTGCAGCTGCTCGTGACTGTTTTTTGCCATCTTAACCCCTTGTTGCCTCTTTCCAGCTCCCCGTCGCTTAGTTCTCAGGTTTTTGAAGCGGCGTGGTGAGCTTAGAGCCAGAGACACTTGAGTTATTTTCGGTTTCTCGACGGAATAGGAATGGGAATACGCGCAGATTGCAGATCTGTTGTAACTTAGTGTAGTATAGGTGAAAAGGGAAATACCAATTAAGAATGCGTTGACATTCCGCCCACCACTCTTGAGATTCCACTCCATCTGACACTCCAGCGGAGACAACAGTGCGTATGCGTGATAAACAAAGCTAATTGGAAAACTACGGAAAACTAGAGTCAAGAGTAGAAAATCAGAACTGACAACCATAAAAGAGCGACACAATTGGGATAGCTTGAAAATTTATTTGACCTAAAATTAATACAATAACACAATAAAATGTTTTGATATTCTTAAGCACATTTTTCATCAGTTGCAGTATTAATAGAGTTTATAATATAACACAATATCGTGATTTTGGCAAGGCAGTTAATAGAAATCAACGCCAGTTAGTAAAGTTCGCTTCTTTTTGAACTAAACTGTATCGTCTGATTGGCAAATGAAATGAATGTTTTTACCACAGTACTCATAATATAGACCGTCCTTTTTGGTCGACATACAGAATCTGGTTAAGGGCACAGCTTCTCTTCCAAACCATAAATTTAAAATTTTTCCGGAGGCTACTGATTTTAACTGGTATTCTCCTTTCTCATCATTAATACCTAGCCAGTAATATTTGGAACCTTCAAGTTTACGTTGAAGATCTATCAACTCATCGTTTGTCTCAACGGCTGCCAAATAACCTCCTTTTTGACGACATAAGTTTTTAGCAGAATACCAATCCGTTTTCACGTTGTGCTCTATGTAAAAGTATCTTGAGCCAATCAACTCAAATCCAGGTTGAACTTTTGAACTTTTGGTCACCGACGTGTTGATCTGGGCTGCCATCCTATCATTTTTTTCCACTGACTCCTTTTGAGCTGATAAAGTTGCATTTAAAATAACAGCGAGGGTATTGAACTGATGTCGAAGGTTGGCAAGGCCATCATAAAGTGGACGCAGTGAAGCCTGGCAAAACGCTCCACACTGATTTGGGGCATCAGTCAAAACACATCGTGAAGAGCATTTTTCCTTTGAATTTGTCAGGTTGACGAAGGCATATACCAAAAAAAATACAATCTTGTGCATTTTGCGAACGTAGAACCACAAAAGTTGAATGTTACCATCGAACTGATTTTGGATCAATTAACATACTTTCGAAGAGGCCTTTAGAAGCTATCATAAAATAAAACCAAATATGATATTAAGAGGCGGAAACCCAAATTGTGCAGATGCTTTAGTCACTATTGATAAGCCACGAGATAAAACATTTGCAAATAATTAAATATTAATTTGCATAGCTCATTTTTTTTTGTGCACATTTTTCGATGTTTAGTCAAAAACTGTGGCTTATCAATGCTGAAAAAAAAGCTGTGGAATTTGGTTTTCCGCCTCTTTATAACATTTTTGGGTTTAAGTTGTTTCTCAATTTGTTGTAATTTGGGAGAGAGCAAAATACATACATACATATTTTGGATTAGTACTTAAAAATTTACGAACGCGGAATACCGGCTAGCTTGCTAAAAACTATACATTATGAAGGATTAGAAGGAAGTAAGAACTCTAAATTCAGATCAGAAACAATGCATTTTCAAGCGCTATAATATTTATATATAGTAACATTTTTAAAGTGGATAGCCAAGTTTGCAACACTGCTGACTAACAATTCTTACCTGATGCAGGCACTCCAGCCAGGACCCTCTGTCCTGGCGATAGTCCTAGTACATCCATCCTTGGTGCACCTCCTGCTGCTCCTGTAAGTGCTTCCGGTAATGAAGCCAACACCGATGCCAGCAGGCACAGAAATATATATAGCTGCAGCCGCGGCTGAGAACTCCTTTTGATTGCTGCCATCCTGCGCTGCAACGAAGGATTAGAAAGTGTTCGTTCAATTCAGGCGGCATCAAGTTATTAATACAATGGAGGGTCTTCTTGGAGGGACCATTGTGTGGAGAAGGGAAATCAAATTGTCTGGCGCATAAAACACAAAACAAAAGGTTCGGGTGGGCCAACAGTATCCATGGCTTGGCCTTTGGTTGGCCTTTGTTCAGACAATTTATTCGAAAGACAAACCAATGCAGGAATATGTTTAGGGAACTTTTACCGATCTTATTTTACTCACTAAAACTTCATTTGTATAATTGTAATAGACTAATTATTTGCGTCTAATTTGAAGAGACTTAGCGATAATATTAACAATTTTAAATTTTAACAATTAGAAATGGTATTGCAATTTGTATAAATTTATTTAAGGCATCCAATAATAATTTATTTTAACTCGTATATGGAATTTCTATAAAATCTTTTTAAATATCATGTGATAAATTATACACATTATAAAGAAACGCTATTTTTACCAAATTTTATTTGTTACTTCCTTAAAAGGTTTGCTTTGTTATATTTTTTGTTGAAATCCTTTTTTTTGCCAAATTCTACCTTTGTATATTTAATGTCTGCTTTCATTTAAAAAAAATCACATCCCAAAATTTAAAAAATTTTAAAAAAAATTCAAAATTCTGAAGTTTTTCTTTGCTTTGAATTGGAAATTTGCAAAGGCGCTCCGAACTGCTGTCTCTGAACCCCAACTTGCCAGTTTTTCCAAGACGAGACTGACAACCAGCATAGATTGCAAACCACTTTGTTCCTCTTGTTGCCGGGCTTATTAACGCTCCAGCGAAACCCCGCTCCATTTTCCCGTCAAACAGGTCTGGCTGCACAATAGGAAATGGGGTAAAATCCTTTGGTCTCGCCCATCAGACGTGGCCTCCCATCGACAGCCATTGTTAAGCGCCATCAATTGAGCAATTTGAATGGCGGCGACTAAAGATTTATGAGCCGCTCAAGCTTCAAGTTGCCCAAAGAATTTAGATCAAGACTTTAAGACTCGAATGATTTCACATAGAAACAAACCATGTGAGATTGCTATTTTCGTCAAAATAGTACATTTTACGGATGCAATCAAAGAAGTTTTTTAAAGAGCCCCCAAAAGCAGCAGCAAAATTGCAATAACTTGACTTATTTAAACATCTTGTGTCGCATTTTAAACGTTTATTTTGAATGTCTAAAGGTTAAGGTAACTAAAAAAGAAAAGCGTTTTCTTTATTCTATTTTCCTTAAGTGCAGTAAACCCTTCAAGTATTTGGCAACAATTAAGCAGCTTAAAGAGTGCATTACTGCCATTTACTTTTGCTCTCTTCTCGCTTAACGCGCCATTTAATGAGTGGTAGAAAAACCGAGTGGAAGGAAGCGACTGTGGAAAGGATGTGTGGCGGGGAAAACGAGCGTAAATGCATAGAAAACAAGGAAAACATGGCGGAGGAAAATCTCTCATTCACTTCCTCTTCTTGAACATACGCTCGATTGTCTATCTGCAATTGCTATTTTGTCTTTGTGGCCCCGAAAAGACAAACAGAGAAGGGAATAAAGAAATTTTAGATAGGAAAGCAGGAGCATTTGCAAACAGGACGGGATAATGAGCTCCAATGGGTGGACGAAGCTTCAGAGGAAAAAAGTGAAAATAAAATCAAGAAAGCTACTCAATAATTACCAACTCAATAAGATATCTTAGCATTTGAGTTCCAAGTTCTACGACTAAAGGTGTACAAAAATATTTATAAAAGACGTACCTAAAAAAAAAACATTTTTTAGAGACAGTTATATGTAGCTAAACATTAATATAAATATGTTTTCTTTAGGGATTATTTATTTAATAATATAAACAATTATCAAACAAATGCTCTTACAATAAAGTCACTATCCGTCAATGTATTTAAGAAATACATTTTTTATGCAACTAATATAATAACAATAATTGCAAAACAATAATTGTTAATTCTCTTTATTTCTGGATTGTTTGCTTTAGGCTATGGTATATATCCATAATCCGTATTTAGTTTTAACCTAATAATAGTTTTGATATAAAATATTTCTAGCATGCGTCACAAGGTTCCTATTACACCTTTTTCTAGACAAATACACTTATGGTATTTTATACACAACAGTATTAAGGTTAAAAAACAAAATGTTAAAAAAACAATTGTCGCCCTTGAACTAAATTCAAATTTTTATGTGTAAAAATATGAACCTATGAAATATGAAATAGTTTATTTCTGTACTGCCATTTCCTAAAAATGAAGCGTTTTATTATATTACTAAGCCACCTGAAATCTTATCAGCCTCCCTAAAGTAAAAAAAAAATAAACAAAAGAAAAAAATCCTCAATAAATAAATCACCCGATTTTGTATTGTTTGAAGAATTGAGTAAATATATGCCAATAAATTCTTGCCAATATAAATTTAATGCTAAATACATATTTTCAGCTATTTAATTGCCATTCGAGAGAAACAGTTGTATTCGACTCTCTTGTCAGTTGCAGATTTCCCTGTTTTTCACACTGTCCATTATTATTTGTTTTCCGGCTATCTTTGAAATAAAATTTAATTTCACAGCTAACTCTCTTTTTATTACACTTTTAACTAAGGATCTGGTTTATATATGTACTGTACCGTTAACCCACTGCCAATCGGCCGTTTGTTTTAATTGTTACTGCTGCCGAAAAATGCAAACGTTCGACTGAAATTGAAAACGAAGAAGGAGCTCGAAATAAAGACAAAAAAAAACATGATTGAAATGTGAGAAATCAATGCTAGAAAATTGCTGTATAATGTGAAGTACATCAGTGCGGGGGCGATGAAATGATATCAATTGATAACAAGCAAGCAAAACGCTGATAATGAAAACGCCGCAGGGGCAAAGTTCAAAAAAGTGAAACGACAAGTTGGCGTAGTTGAAAATTAATATGCGTTAAATGTGAAGAGCTGTTTGTCTAATTAAACAGCCCAACAGCCCAAGAAATTGCGATTGCTACAAAATCAAATATTAAAACTGATAACTGGTGAAGAGCGAGGCCCAAATTGGTGATAAAGCTTGTTTTGGTAAAATAACCATTACCAAATTGGTTGCGCCTAATTGTTTTCCAGCACAATTGAAGGATTGCCATTCTTACATTTAATAAATGTGTATTAATTTTAATTTGAATAAATAAAATTAATTTTCTAAGTATTTTAATGTTTTATAGATATTGCCATTGTCCCTCACGTATCCTATTCTTTTGTAAACACCTTAATTTTAAAACCGCATTAAACTAAAATTAAAAATTTAAAATTAATTATTTAGCCATTAAAGGGCAGAAATTGGCAAAAAAGTTAAGAAAATATTATTACTTATGAGATATTTTATATTTGACTACCTCGATTGTTATTCTTTTAATTAATAATAATAATAATTAACAATACATTATATAACAACGGTGAAGTCTGAACGATTGAGTGACTTGGCTAATGTGATAAGCTTCTCCAACATTTTTTGCCATGCTACCTGTTGTACAAAAACAATTTTACAAAAGCCAAAAGAAGGAAAAAAGCCGCTTAGGCCACCCACTTGCGCCCACTAATTCATTTTAATAATTGACCACCTTTTCGACTGCCTTCGTGAATGTTTTTCATGGTGGAAATATGCTTGTAAGCAGCTCTATTAGTTTTGACATTCATTTGACAGTTTGATGAATGAATTAAGCACACAAAGAGAGCAAATATTTATGAAAGAAATTGGAATGAATGCAAGGAGAGCGGATATGAAAGAATGGTAAAAGAGAAGGAAACAGGAAACAGGCAGAGAAGGGGGAAATATTCTGAATGGTGATGGAGGAAAAGGGGGAAATATTCAGAGAGATTTCTATCGCTTGCACACAATTTACCTAACATTTTTTTTCAAACTTCTTGGTCGTCTTCTTGGCCCTCTTTCTTATTTCCCTATTTCCTTGTCGGCCCTTAAATGTCTTCGTAACCCCGAGGCCGCCAATTTGCTTCCAATTCCTGCTTCAAGTGTCTGCGAAAAACGAAAATTTTCGCCATTCGGGGAAAACGGAGGGCACTAGGCAGATTCGTATCGTGGAAAACAATTTTAAATGGCGCACACAAAATGCCGGAAACCAGACACAAAATGCTAACGGAAAGGGAAACAGACGTTTACACACACAGACACCCGCACGCACACACGCAAACGGAGCCATTTGAATGTGTTAGTTGATGCAATTTAAATCCTAAAAAGGGAATCCAAATCATTTTTGATTATTTATTCTAGCTTCTGATGGGCATTTGAAATTGCATTGCTTTTTATTTGATTGCCTCTTATTTTTATAAAATAAACAAGATAAAGTTAACACTATGTATTTTAATTTGGTAAGCAATTTAGAGCAGCTTAAACCTTAAATGTAACTAGTCGAACTTTTTTTCTTGATTGTTGCGTTTGCTAATGGAAAAACTTTTGTTTATTTTACATGCATATATGACAAAATTCGCAATTTAACGCCGAGTGTTTATGAATTTACGCTTTCTTTTTGTTTTTGTTTAAGAAAATGCCTACGTATTCCATAAATTTAACATCTAGAAAAGGAGTGCTATTTAAAAATATTTCTAAAATTTTAATTTCCAAATTAAAAAGAAAAGCTAATAAAAATGTTTCATTGTACTACTTTGATTATCCATAAATTGAAGTGTAAAAAATATAAGTATGTATCTTAAAGTTCCTTAATGAAAAATATGTTTGGTGTGTTTTAGAAATACATTTTACTTACATTTTTTTAAACAGCTTCTTCCTCGTGTGACAAAGATTATTAACACAAAACACGACTCTCGCAACTTAAACTTTTTAAACCGTTATTTGCCGTTACAGATTTCCTATTTATTAGTGCAGACACCTTCCCGAAACAGAAGCAAAAGCAATGACACCTTACAAAAATGTCATTAAGTAAGGACACTCACCGATACATAATTTTTATTTTTGAAAACGAATCGATATTTTAGATCTATGAACAATCATATTAGTACCCTTCCAATTTGAACTTTTTTGGTAAAGTTTCAAATACCGTTTCTCAGTTCTTACACTGTTACTCTCCAAAACAATCAGTCAGAAACAGTTAAAATTATATATTGAGATTATAAAATTGATTTATAACTTGGCTTTAAATATTTATTATCTTCACTTTCTCTTAATTTATGTGTAAAAATATCGGCAAAAAGTTTTGGCTCCACTATCGATACACCACCCACTCTAGGTGGCAACCCTAACCAGCGAATATTTGGGGAGAACGCACACAAGCGACCCGGCCACACTGCGCTGCAATGTTCTCAGCAGCAGAGGAAAAATATGAGAAAAAGTGGAAAAATAACAAAACAAACGGGCAAAAAACGTTGAAAAACGCGACGCGCAATTGTAGAACGAGTGCACGACAAACGAGTGATTAGAACGGCGTGCGCGAAAAAGCGGAAAAAGCACCCAAACCAAAGCGAAAAAAGTAAAGAGCCCATCATCACAGCGACGAAGATGAGCGAAGAAGAAGAAGCAAGGCAGCAGCAGCAGCAATAATAAGTTGTTCTCTGTGCGAGTGAGAGAGTGCAGCAGAGCAAAATAGGGGCATAAAAAACGCAAAATAAACGAAAATAAAAATACGAGATTGCTGCGAAGTGAGTGTGCACAACGGTATAAGTCCCGTTGCCCGCAAAAATCTACCGCCCCGCTAGCTAGTGTGTGTGCCTATCGGTGTATGTGTGTGCGTGTGAGTTGGTGAGATTTCCCATTGGTGTGCGAAAAACAAAAGCCAAAAAATCGGAGCAAAGAATATATAGAAATCAAGGAAATGCAATATAGAATCGGCTGTCGCCGCCGCTGCTGCTGCGTGCTGTAATCCCAATTGGACTCCCAATTGGAGACAGTGTCTCTGTGTATGTGCGTGTGTCCGTGTGAAAAGAGGTCAAAGGCGCAACCAAAGTTTTTCACTTTTCATGCGGTAACCAAAAAAAAAATAGCGCAAAAAGTGCCAACCAGCTGAGAGCGCAAAATACAAAAAAAAAACAACGTCGCAGTTTTGCGTTAAAACAATAAACCTGTCCAAGTGTGCGTGCGCGTGCGGCTGTGTGTGCGTGTAAGAGCGAAGCGAAATAACGCAAAAAAAACCATCAGTTGTTAAAATAATCCCCCGACAAACCGATTTTCGGATTTAACAACTCTCGGCTCGCAAACAACTCAAAATCAAATCTGGTTTTATCAGGCGACGCAAAAAAAAAAAAACACAAAAGGCCATAACCACAACAAAAACAAAAAAAAAAAGCGCCAAAAATTAAATTCTTCTGTATGAGGTTTTAATCAAGCAAGAATTCAATTTGCATAGCAGAAGAGCGACAGAGAGAGCAAAACATCCAATTGGAGTTAGCGGCGAACGAGAAACTGTAAGTAATACCTCGGCCCCTCCCCCTCTTTAGCGTTCGTTTTGTTTTGCCGCCTCTTTGCTTTGCGCACAGTTCTGCTAACGTTTTTCCCCTTTTTTCTCATTTTCCTTTCAACTGTTGCGGTTGCGCCTCGCGATAAATAAACAAACATCAGAAATTATTCAAAAACTCTTGGGAATGCGCGTGGCAGCAAAATAACCGTTTGATAAGCGATTCTCAGGAGACAAATCAAAGAAAGAGGTGATAAGAAAACCGAAAAGCCGAGAGGATAAATCGAGAAAGAGAGCTGCTAAAAAATAGGCCATTCACACTCTCTTGCAGTGAAAGAAAAATTGATAGCTCAAAAATATTTATTTAGCTTTAGTTTGATTACAAAAAGAGAAAGTTGGCACCATACATTTTATTGTGATATGTAGTTAATATAATCTTCAAAAAAATCGCAGTAGTTAAATTCGAATCTAGCCACTTTAAAATATGTATAACCTAAAAATTTCCAATGTTATCATCATCGGTAAAAACAAAATTAAATATCTACTTTAAGGGTCATAACTATTTGGAGTTATGTGTGATATTTTGTCTGTTGTCAATGGACTCTAATTTTTATCAGTCGCAGTGTATTAAAAATTATTAAATGTCAATATCGATTCGTGGGAATATTTCCGCTTTGCCCAATAGCACCCCTCCCTTTAAATACCTACCCCCCAAAAAATCCACTCCCTCCCAAAAAATATTATCTACCTTTGTTTAGTTTGAGGCGTGCTCAGCCTTTTTATGGCCGCTTCGGCTAAAAGTGTGAGTCGCATTTAAAATCTCTTTGCTCCTGCATCGCGGTTAAGCTATAATGGGATTTACACTTCCGATATTTGCCTGGATTACTCATCGCATAGCCTTTTAAAACGATATAAAAATGGTCATGATTTGGGGCTAATTTAAATCTGAATAAGAACCCTTATTGGGATATTGATTAGTAAGAACTATACATACATACATACATACATAGGTAACAATTTTTATTAGGAAACTACAGTTTAGATTTTGTAGGGCACAACATTTATATTCTGACAATATTTCACATAACTTAATCTAAAGGTGCCAAACTTATACATACTTCAATTCACTGTATTTAATCTTATTTTATAATTTACAAAGAACCTTTAAAAAAATAGTATATTAAGATAACGTATTTTCAAAAGTCAATTTAAGATTGGTTAACTCTTTATTAATTTTTTTTTTCTGTTGGCGTATTAGCTCTTTTTAATATTTTTGGCAAGCCCATGTTACTCTTGCAGTTAAAACAAATGCTTACTTTTAAATGTTATTATAATATCAGGTTGTTTGCTTTTATATATATGTTTTTGATTTGCATAAAACTGTCATGAAAATACAATTACTATACTACTCTTTCACACTCAGAATAAAGAAAAAAGTTATTAATATGAATCAGCATTTAGCTGGAATTAACACGTCTACAACTTAACGACAATAGTCTTTTTATTTAGTTTATCAACATTGTAGGTTCAGCACTAGTTCTAAGAAACTCCCATGAAAATAAATAAAATAAGAAATAAACAGAAACGAAGACGAGGAAAATGATGTATTGAAATTAACTTACAAATTAAGGCTTCCTTATAGGAATTACCCTAATCGATTTAATTGAGTATTCTTTTCTTCAACTACACAAGAAATCGATAACAGTAAGTAAATTAGCTAATCGTCGAAATTAATGAGGGCTTGAATTAGGGGTTGAGTTTAATATGTGTGTGGGAACTTTAGATGCTCGTTCAGTAAGCGGTAGGGTGTATGTATCTTCGTCAATGTGTGTTCCAAGATTTCAATATTTTTGATGAGTTTAAATTTATCTTCTTTTTTTACTTAAGAGAAGTCTTTAGATGTGTTTTGTTGGTTCACTTATATTGTTATACCTGTATATGTATGTTTTTACCGAATGCAGTGTTACCAAAAACAATTTGTATATTTGTATATATTTTTTGAGTAAAAGTAAAATTTAAACGCTTTTAAGTCTTAAAAGTTATCCAAATAATCTTTTTAAAGTCGGACTCAGATCAGAAACAAATACATATACATATTAAAAATTTTAAAACATTAAATCAGCAATTAAAAACTATAAATTTAGCAAAATTGTTGAATGAGTATTTGAGATTTCATTTTGAATTATCTTTATATATGTATATAACCTTAACTTTATAACTTTAATGTTTAATTTTCTATACATGTTATTATTAACTTTAATTAAATCATTGATGGTAGAAAACCTTTTTTTAATTTATTGGGGTTAAGTTAAAATCGGCTCACATTAAACTAAAGTTGTTATATTAATTTGTTTTTAATTATATAGATAGTAACGATTACCTAGTCGATTATTTGTACGTACAAAGCCAATTTTCCATATTTATTCATAATTTTAATTTATCGGGAACTATTTCTTTTCGAAGTACTATATACATGAGCATATGTGTTCGTACATGAGTTTTGCTTTTGATAAGAACACTACCTAAAATTACCCATCCTAGAACCCTTATTTTCTTTGCAAAAGATAAATATCAAATTTTGATTTTGGCCTACTTGGATTTATTTGAGCGGTGATTACCCACATTTTCAGACTTTTGTCAACACATCAGCCATGTCAACCTCATCATCATCGATTGAAGCTCATCTAAAAGTTGTCAAAAGTTGCGGAACTGGTTTATGGTTTTTAGTCTAAAGAGGAAGCCACAAATATTTGGAGCATAATATTAGCTTGATTTTTCTTTTTTTGGAACAACGTGGCTTAAAGTTGTTTTTAAAATGCCCTTCGTATATTAAAAAAAAAAAAGAAAAACGAAAACAATGAGCATCAACTTTGCACTGCCGCGAAACCGGAATAAATTAATGCAAAAAAAAAAAAAAGATTATTTCGTTTGCTACGCAATTCGCGGCATTTGCATAATGCAGCTCTGCAGGTGCCGACGAAAAGCCGCCCCCTGGTAAACCCCGTTCTCCCAAAACGATATACCCAAACCCAAACCCAAACAGTCGCTTTCAGAACTATAAAAACTTGTTGTCTGCCCTGCTCGTCGCTTTTTCCCGCCCTTTTTGAACACTCGGCAGATATATGTATGTATGTATGTATGTACACATGTTCGTACATATGACACTCGTTATGCAATGGCATTGAAATCGAGTGAGAGAGGGCCGCGAGACCGGGACAACCGGGCAAACATTACTACGCATGGCGTGGACCTGAATCCGAACCCGAATCGGCATCGCCATCGCCATCGCCATCGGAATACGACTGGAAGTCGGCCAAACGGCGAATGTTTTGTATCTGTATCTGGCTTATCAGCAAACCGCTCGACTGACAAATTGATAAAAACAAGAATGGGGAGAGGTTCGGGGCTAACTTACTTACGGGTGGATGCCGCCCCCCTGTCAAAACATTTCCATGCCCTTCGCCGGCAGATAAAAAGGCAGGGGGATAAAGGTGTGCGCTCAGGGAGCGGAAATGCCTTGAGATGGATGAGCTAGCTTATGGCAACAGATTGCAGACTACACCTTTTCACCGCTCCACAATGGACTGAGATAAAGGTGTTTCGATTTTAAGATTTATTTATTCGTTACTTTGGCTAAGTTATTAACTCCGTATATTCCATAACAGGGTATATTCAATTTCATGTTTATTTACTTGAGTCATATATGTATACTATTTGTTTATTTGTAATCAAACAGACTTAATTACTTGCTAATTAAATTAGATAGGATAGATATGAGGTGACCAGTATCACATATTATCTTTTAGCTCTATAGGAAAAGGCAAAGCGAATACCAAACTTACTCGAACATGTTAAATTCACTTAGTTAATGATTAACTCTCCCCTACTTTCAAACAGATTCCTTCGGCAGACACATTCTCCACAATGGCCAATCCGCGCAAGTTCAGCGAGAAGATCGCGCTGCAGAAGCAAAAGCAGGCGGAGGGCACGGCGGAGTTCGAGCAGATTATGAAGGAGGTGCACGCGACGAAGCGGGACGAACCGACGACCAACCAAAAGATCCTGGAGTGCCTGGGCGGCGGGCATGAGTTGAGCCAGTCCTCGCAGGGAGGCGGCAACGGGTCCGGAGGTGGAGGCAGTGGCTCCGGCAGTGGAGCCAGCGGTGGCGGTGCCTCGCCCGACGGTTTGGGTGGCGGCGGTGGAGGTGGGAGTCCTCGGGAGTCCCGGGGACGGAGTATGGGCGTGGGTCCCATGCGGAGACCCTCGGAGCGGAAGCAGGATCGCTCGCCCTACGGCAGCAGCAGCAGCACGCAACAAGCCCTGGACAACGGCCAACTGAACCCGAATCTACTCGGCCCACCCATGGCGGACAGCCTGAGTCGACGCTCCAACTCCGATTCTATGCTCTTCCAGACCGCGCTAGTGGCGGGCCTCGACAACAACACGTACCCCAACTACCAGCAGCAGCAACATCAGCAGCAGCAACCGGGCCAACAAAGATCTCACTCGCCGCACCATGGGATTAACAGGACATTGAGTCCGCAGGCGCAGCGCAGGAAGTCACCCCTGTTGCAGCCCCACCACCTGCAACTGCACCAGCAGCAGCAACAACTGCAGCAGCAGCACCAGCTGCACCAGCAACTGCAGATGCAGCAGCTGCAACAGCAACACCAGCAGCTGCAGCAACAGACCACGCCATACAACAACGCCAAATTCGTGAACCAAGTGTTCCGGCCGCTGCAGGATCAGGCCAACTTTGCCAACACCGGCTCCCTGCCCGATCTCACGGCCCTTCAGAACTACGCACCCCAGCAGCAGCAACAGTCCCATCAGCAGCAACAGCAGCAGCAGCATCAGCAACAACAGCAGCAGCAGCAACAGTTGCAACGAACCCTGTCGCCAGTCATGTCGCCGCACAACCACCGCCTTGAGCGGGATCAATCGCCAAGTCCGTTTAGTCCGGCGGGTGGAGGAAGTGGAGCTGGTCCTGGGTCGCCCTATCAGCAGCAGCAGCACTCACCCACCGGCAACACGCAACAACAGCCGCAGCAGCAGCAGCAGCAACAACCAAGTGGTTCGCCGCACCTGTCCTTCACCAACCTGGCCACCACCCAGGCAGCGGTCTCCACATTTAATCCGCTGCCAACGCTGGGACCGCACAATGCCACCGACTACCGCCAGCCACCGAATCCGCCAAGTCCACGCTCGTCGCCCGGCTTGCTGAGCAGTGTTTCGGCCACGGACCTGCACTCGAGTGCGCCGGCCAGTCCGATACGCCAGCAGCAACATGCGCAGCAGCAGCAACAGCAGCAGCAGCAGCAACAACAGCAGCAGCAACAGGCGCACCAGCAACAGCAACAGTTTGATAACTCGTACAACAGTCTGAATACCTCGTTTCACAATCAGTTTGAGGGCTTCTCGCTGGGCGACAGCAATTCCTCGCCGGAGCACCCGGTTTTTTCCGAGTATGTGGCCCTGGACTTTGACGACCTGAGTGGTGGTGGAGGCTCAGCGGGTGGCGGTGGCAGCAATGGAGGTGGCCTGACCAACGGCTACCCCAAGCAGGAGATGCTGGACTTCAGTGAGCTGAGCGGCAGTCCGGAGGCGAGCGGGAACAACAACCTTTTGCGGAGGGGAGTGAGCAACTTGAACAACAACGGGTTGAGCAACGGCATCGGGTCGACGCACAATGGCAGCACAAATCTGAACGGAGCGGGGAACAACAATAGCAGTAGCGGCGGTGGCCCGACGCAGGATCCCCTGGGCATAACGGCTTCTCCTGTTCCCTCACCCTTGGGTGGCCCCAGTTCACCGCTACCGATACCCATGGTATCGGCTCAGGGGTCGCCTCAGCAGCAACATCACCACCACCACCACCATCAGCAGCAGCAGCAACAGCATCATCAGCAGCATCAGCAGCCGCACCATCAGCAGCAGCAGTTGTCGCTATCTCTGCACCATTCGCCGCATCATTCGCCGATGCATTCGCCGCACCATGGTAATTCCCCGCTCTCGAGCAGCTCGCCAGTGAGTCACAATAGCTGCTCCAACTCCAATGTGGTGATGAACCATCATCATCAGCTACAGCAACAGCAGCAACAACAACAGCAGCAACAACAACATCTCCTCCAGCAACTCCACCTTCAGGGATCCTCGCAAAGTCAAACGCCAACCACAGCGAATATACCCTCGATTATCTTTAGTGATTACTCGTCAACCGGGGACTATTCCTTCGACTCACTTGATCTGGACCTGGGCCCGATAGACGAAGCCGGGATGCAGATCTTGTCCGACCAAAGCCCCATCATGATCGCCAATCCCAACATCGAGGATAGTTTTCGGCGCGACCTCAACTGATACTATGAGGAGGCTGTTGCGGCCATCGAAAGCGGAGTGTTGCTAGAGGAGGACTACCAGGAGCTGCTGGGATCGGATGTGCTGGCGGATGAGCAGGTGGCCACCGTGGATAGCGCCACACTGCCGGCAGCAGCAGCAGCAGTAGTGGGAACAGTTGGAGAGGCAGCCGCAGTTAGCGACAAGGACAAAAAGGATCTGGAAGTGGTGGAGTTGTTGGTGTCCGGCGTGATGGATGACTTAGTGGACTCCAGTGACCTCGACGAGGAGGTTCGCAACTTCTTCTTCTAGGCTGTAAGCCCTTTTACGATTTCGCCGCTATCACAACTGTTGGAATTTTCAATTTCTAACGTAAATATGAGGAAGTGAATTAAGAGTCTTTTGAGTACTTCCACTTAGATTTCCCCGATTAAATGCCATATTACTTAAGGTCATGATTCACAAGCTTAATGTGAAGTAATTTAAATTCGGAAACTTTGACAAGGGGTGTGTAAAGTTCAAAATATGATATTAATTTACTTCCGCAAATTCATGCTGAAACTGACATTTTTAACAGGCCTCAATATTGTTATCTCGTTATCGCCCGTGCTTTCGTAGCTAGCTCTTAGCTCTTAGAAAAAAGCATAAAAAAAAATGAAATGAAATGAAATGAAATGAATCGTTAACCCCTAAGTGTACTTGAGTGTCTTTTTACACCCTCTTTCCTCAAAATCCCTAGCACCCCTGAAAAAGCGAAACATATTTTACAGCGAGTCTCAGATTTTACTTAACTACGCACATAAGTCACTATACAATTTATACACTTAAGCTCTAGTTTCTGTATATAATACAATACCTAATGGGAAGAAGCAAAAAGGATTGAAACCAAAAAGTGTCTTAGACCAACGACCAAAATTATATTCTCCATACGAAAACGAAGAAAGCTGAGAGGAGGAAGGACTTAGAACAGCGCCTCTGAGCAAAAAAAATACCTTCAACACTATATGCCATCTAATCTGTTTTCGTTTGTTTGTTTGATCCAGATAAATAGCTAGCTAATTACGCATGTGTGTGCATCTGTAAAACCCTATGAATATTATAATCCCAATGTGCCGTCGAAGCAATTACTAGAGTTTAAGAAGCCGATATCGAAACCGATCCCTCAGTGCTGTAAAGTCTTCAAATCCCCCTTCCCCGCGAAAATTGTTCGAATACAAAACGATAGATAGATGTATTTTCGAGATCCTTCTTCATCAACGCAGTATCACAAACTAAACGAGTATATAACCGTACAGACATACGCATATACATATATATAGCAAAATATATCTACTGATGTGTAGTTAATAGTCCAGGCACAAGTGTAGCTCACAATCGGAATTAAGTTCCAGTGTCCTGCTCAGACAAACTTTACGAAACCAACCAGAATCAAAAGCAAACTCAAAAGAAAGCTAAAGAAATTTTTACAAGTCTTTAACAAATAGTAGATAGGTTTTTTTCCAAAAACGTTTTCCAAACACTTAATTATCGAGCATGGAACTACGACTACTACCACAATACCCGATCCAATTTAAGCCCGTTGTCTCTTCAAGTCATTTTTATTACGAAAGTAAAAAAAAATTAAGAATCAAATCAAAGAAAGCTTTATGGCATGCAACCAACAATAAGGAGAATGGATTGGCTAGGAGAGTGCGATCCTAAACCCTGCATAATAATTACTGTTTATAAATAACAAATCCCCTTAAATCACACACAAATCATTGAGTCTAAATTTACTTAATAAATGTAACAAAAACTTAAAAAATTGAACAAAAAAAATAAACAAAACTAAATAGCTTCAAAAGTGCAAAGATAAAATGTTTTATTTAAATCGAGTACCAGAACTTCTTATACATATACATAAATATACAATATAATGTTTAATATTAGTAACAAAAATGTTTTTGCTAATAAAGCCCCTACAAAAGATTTCCTTTTTCTAATTATCGATGTAAAACTAGTTATAAACTAAACTTAAAAGAGACGAGGTAAAACGAGAAAAAAAATTTACAAGCGACACACAAAAAAAAAGCGAAGAAAAAAGAAAAATACATATATAAATGTAATTTAAAAATGTAATTTATGTGGGAAACGCGCAAACATATATATAGATTGATAACATTTGTCTCTGCTGTTTTGTGTTAAAATAAACACCTAAATAAAAGAACTTGAAGAATTAAAATAATACTAGATAAGTGAGAGAGAAATGCTAATTATAAATTATACTATTATTATTATACGACATGTACTAAGTAATTGTGTATGTAATATATAATTACATTTATATTAAATTAACGGTACATCAACAGCAACAAGAAAACCCGCAAAACCGAGGAGAATAAGCCATAAGATTATATTCAATGTAATAACACAGTTATTTGTTTCAAATAAATCTTAAATTTGATTTTAAAGTCCAGAAAATAATGCATTAGTTTAAATTTCTGTATCGCAGATTTTTTTAGTAAGTGTGACTACAATCAGATCCTTTGGTCTTGACCAAACAGTTATATAAGTATTTTATATATACTGTATTGATATCTTAATTTTTAGGCTGTATTATAACCGAAATTGCTGCATTACAAAATGATTTTGCAATTTTGTATCTTTTTTATATTCTGTGTGCATTGAACGACAGTACTAACACCTGTTGTTCCAAAATTCCGTTTACGTGGGCGAATGCAGTTCTAGGTGTTGGAATAATAGCACGTAAAATTATGTAAATTTATAGAAAAATAGTAATCAAGCACATTTATTAAATGCTCAGCCACTCTCCGAAAGGAATGTGTGAGTGAGTAGTTTGTGTCTTTGTTAATAAGCGCGACGCAGTTTGTGTTTTGTGTGTGCTAAATTTAGTAGTCAAAGTTCAATGCGGAATACTGAGTAACTGGAGGAAGCACTACTGCTAAATACTCCTCTTTCGAATTCTACTACTTTTCTAGACAGCTTGGTACATATTTGCACATGTGCCGCGGTAGAGAGCGACAAATCGAGAGAACCGAGTAAGTAAAATATTAACATAAATGCGTAAGACGTCAGCTTGGCTTAATAAATAAAACAAGCAGGAAAATAAAACAAGCTGCTCGCGATTCCAAAATCAAGTTTCAGATCTTTCCAGCCAGAATCTTATAAACAAGAAAGAGAGCCAAGTCAAGAATTTAATAAGCTACAGAGAAAAAAAGTTGTATGTATGAAAAGATCAATTCAATTTAAATTGACTAAACTTAAATTGATAAAATTTAATTAATTTAGTTTAATTTATTAATTTGCCATTTTTCAAAAAGAAACCGAGACAAACTGAAATTTAATGATAATTTCTATATAAATTTTATAAAATTACATCTATTATAATGTCGGATACAATTTGAAAGGATTTCCAAGTTCGTAACAAGATCTTTTATTTTTTATACGATTACAGTTTTTCTCTGTTTCGGGAGGGTGGAGATCAAAAAAAGAAAGAGCGTGGGAGAACCGATAGCGGCGATATAACGGTAAAGGGCAATCCCCACATGTGGTAAGCCGAAAACAAACCGCCAATACAGTCAAGCCTCTTTGCCCAAAATCAATGTTATAGCTAAAATCGAAGCATTTTAATTGAAATGTTTTCGCTGGCTTTTATTGCTGTTTATGTTTACTTTTCGCACTCGTATGTTTAATTATAATGTTAACAGAGGTTGAGCGGCAGCAAACATCTTTCGGGGGGTACAACTGTACTAACTAAAAGTGCTGAAAACGAACGGAAAACGTTAGGGCGAGATAGCAAGATATTTATTATTATTTCGTGTTCATGTTGGACATTAATGAAGTGTTAAAATGGCATGAAATTAAATCTGCGAGTGTGAGTTAGCTGGAAGTGATGACGCTGTGACGATAACGTCATTATCGTTATCACCCCCAAGCCACTCGAAAGGCGCAAATGTTATCAGCACGAGAGCACCAACAGCAGATTTCAGTCCGCAATCCATACCCAGAATCGGCCGATATTATTCAGACCCAGCTTGGGGCCTCAGCTCCAGACAGCACACGGTATGTGCCCATGCTCCAATCTCTCCACTTCCCGGGGGGCCGATGGGGACATTGCCATTTCTATTGCGATACTGCAGTTTTGCTGTATTGCTATTGCTCTAGCCGCCAGCTGTACAATAATATGTACTTACATACAGTAGCGGTTAAAAAGTTAGAAACAACGGAACAAAAAAACGAGAAATAAGAAATGTTAACTTTCATTTGAAAAACTTGGTTACTGGCAGTTCGAAATTTTCTTGATTCTAAAATAAGTATTGCCTAACGATTATTTGTTGTTTATTTTAGTCAGCAAATATTTTATTGATGTTTCTTGCTGAATGGGTTCTGTAAAATTTGATTACTGATTTGAATTTTAAACTACACATTTTTTTGTTACCTTTCTGACGACAATTGTATAACCACGTACCAGACTACCTATATATGTACGATACGTATCGTAGTTTTTGCAACACCGACCAGTTGAATGCACCCCAGTTGCTTATATGGCACACAATTGATAAGAACGCAAGAGATTCTGGGATTCCAATTGTAATACGTCCTGGTGTGTGTGCGTGCGCAGGAGTAATCATAATAGCAAATAATTAGTATTGATTACAGCGCCTCGCCATTGATTGATAACACTGTGCAAAGCAGAATATGCTAATTTTTGCTTGAACGTCTAAAGCTTTTAATTATTCTTTTCAACTTATATAGTCATACAACTTCCATATTAACTTAATAAATTCAAAAATATATGAACTATTTTTCCTCTTGTAATTTTTAATAAAACAAAATTAATTTAAAACAAATTGTTTTATACATACAAAATACTGTGGAGTTATTTTTTACATATTAAGTCCATATATGTTTTCTTTTGTTTTGGACCCTACTCCTCCTGTATTTCATATCAGAAAACAAAAACAAATTTCCGTGGAATCCTTTAATAAATTTAGATGACTTGATTGCCTCTTCAAGGCGTGGCACGTGCCCTAAGTGCGTACATTTAGGAGTACATTGTCCTGTTTATATGTAAGTATGTTTGTATGTTTATGTTGTACATATATCCGTACGATGGGGTCTGCGTGTGATAGCAGCGGCTAAAAATAATTCGTACGCATCAGAGGGGCCCAGCATTGACGTTAGAGATTGGATTGGATTGTATTGGCACATGTATTAATGGTTGGTCGCATTGCATTCAAGGGCAACGTCGATAAAGGGTCCATCACAGTGGGCCAAAACCCTTTTATTTTGGTAGAAGATACCTTGGTACCATTGTGAAAAGCCGACTTTGATTACAACAACAAGCTACAAGGACAGCAAATAAGAAATACTAAAATAAATATGCATTGTAATGAAACGTAAACAGGCGATAGTGCAACGAGTTTATAAACAATTTTATTTGCTCTTCGCTCTCTGCCGCTCGCGCTGCTTTTGATGCTGTAATCAGTTGTAGAAAATTTAAATTATTATAAATTCATTATTCATTATGCTTATATTGAAAAATCACCTTTTTTATTTTTAGTCGAGTAACATTATAATTAAATATATTGTTCATTCTCAACCTAATTGTTTGTCTTGCCATATTTAAAAAAAAAATGATTTTTTTCTAATTTGTTTAATTTTGTTAAGCAGGTCAGACACAAATTGGTTAGCATTTTTATATTTTTTTTATCTTAACCAAATGTAGTTTGATTCTAATAAATTTTTTCCAAAATTGTATATTTCTAAAGTACGTTTTTACTTACTTTTGTCGCGAACTTGATTAAATTTTATTTAAATTAATTTAAACAACTGTTAGATGCTGATAATTGGCTAAAATTGCGAACTGTTTGCTCATGCGCAATATCCGGATAAAAACAAGACTATGAGAGCGGAAAAGAGCGATGTCAAGGCTGCGTCACACAACGGAAATAGACATCAGCTACGATTTTGGCGGGCATAAATATGTTATTTGCTGTTTCAGTTGCCACAATTACTCCAACAGGCTGATCAAATATTGATCAACTCCCCACCATGTGAGCCCACTACGTCACTACTGGCAGTCCCCAAAGGAGGTGGTGTTGGATTGTTTTGCCGGGGGGGAAGCACCCCTGTCATCTCTTGGCGATAAGCATTCCGGCCACAATGCCAAAACATTGTTGCCTCAGCCGGGAACTTTCCTTTCCGTCGATAACAAGATAACAAATAAAATGATTTCATTTAAATTTATGAATCAAGAACTCCCACGGCTGAGGCGTCGCATTGCAGTAGTAACCGAATCCGACTTACGGATGACTCTCAAACTGTATCTACAGCTTTTGGCAGAGGCGCGCTAAAAAGCTTAAAAACATATGTTCCAGCTTACTTGTGGAATGTGGTTTTAAAACTGTTTATGTTGACAAACATTTTTAATAAATAAGGGATAAATAATAAATATTCTAAACGTATACGTTTCTAGTGCTGGTATCAGTTTATTTAGAAAAAAGAAAGAAATGTATTGTGTATATTCTATTTAAATGTAAAATAAAGTTAATAATCTCATATTTTTTTACACCTTTGCGAATCCTCAGTTAGCTGCATTTTTATATAATTATATTCAATTTAAACTTTTTATGCAAAAAAAAAAATATATATAAAAATGATATCTTTAAATTTCAAAATTACCATATATTCAAATAAAAACTCAAAGATCTAGACTTATATGTTTAAAATGGTGGTTTGATTTATAGAATTACTACGGAATTTATTGATCTACTAATTTCGCATTGTTAAATTCAGATCTTATTGGTGCGCAGATAATCGTCCTCATCGTCTCCATCGGCATCTTCCACCACGCTGTATGAACTCTTGCCAGCACCATCCTTTGCCAAATGCGTCTCAAAGAACTCCTCCACGGTGTCAGTGTTCCACTTGGTGATGGAAAGCGTCTCCTGAACTTTACCACTGGCATCGAGGAGCTTGACTACGGGATCCAAACCTCTTACGTACTTGATCTGCAGGTTAGGGAATTTGGCGGGCCGGCCGCTTTGGATGAAGGCCTGAATTTGTGGGTAGGCCCGGAACTTGCAGGTGCACACCTCCAAAATTGCCTTGGCATAGGTCCGTTGGACAGCCGGCTGTTGATCCAAAGTACAGCATTGCTTGCAATGGGGTCTAGAAATATACGATTCACATTTTAAGATTTCTTTAAATCAGTTTTCCGACATATCATGGTTTTAGTTATAAAATGAAGATAAATAATAATGAGAAAAGTTAGTCAACATGGAAAATGTGGAGATATTTTGTGGTATTCTAGAAAGTATTTGTAAGTAATGTATGTACATACATATGTAAGTATTTTAGGTTTCTGGTGATAACAACTTAAAGGACTTCAGTATAACTTGTGTCATGTATGTATTAAACGTTTAGATCAGTTTCCTTTTTTCAATGTATATTACTGTGTTTTAAAAAATCCATAAATAATATTTTGGTCTATTTACTTTAAAGTATCCAGTCCAAAATCATCAAGTTTGTCGCAACTGGAGCACATCAGTTGTGCTTTGATAAAACCCAACTCCCGGCACTCAGCGGCCGTCATTTCGGCATAGATTTGCTGGCACTAAATAGCATAAAATATATTAGATTCACTTATTTTTGAAGCTGCATCAACTCACATTTAGGGCCAGCATGAGAAAGACCACAAAATACTGCATGTTAAGGTGTAAATTAATATAAAACCTAATTAAATTTACTACGTCCACGTCGTTGTTTACAATTTTTTCTTAGCTTAGTGATGGTAAGAATGGCTTGGCAAAATGTGCAGACATTTTTATCGATTGCTATTAGTTCTTCCATTTGTGGTTTTTAAGAATAACCGTTTTGTCTAGACTCTAGAGAAAATAGAAACTAAGCTTATCAAAAGATGATTCCCAGAATTTACCAAATGTTAATCTTAATATAAATGTAGCATTTTGTAGTCGTGTTGCAAAAGTTCCTCACGGTGCCATATCTATGTGAGTATCGATACAGCCTTCGCTGAAGCTGGCCATCGCTAGGTCAGAAATCGAAAATTTATTCCTGGTGCATTTGTTTTTCTCGCTTCACTTGCGGAGTGAGCCCTGTTTTAAATTAGTTAATTCGTTACAGTAAAGCCACTCGAAACCGAACTATCGCCCTTCGCTTTGCAGCCAAAAAACCAACAGTATTATAGCTGTGTGCGTGTTTGGCAACAACAAAATTTCGAACAAAAATCAATAAAACGGAAACGTGAGAGAGCTGCGCAAAAGAGAAAAGCGAACGCAATCGAATCGACCAACGCATAGAAGGAACAAGGTGAATAAATAGAACATGGCACAGAAAAGGCGAAATAGAATCAAATCGAATTAATATCGAGCACAGAAATAGAAAAGGCGAAGAAGGGGGAAAAATAGCAGTAAAGGGAGCCCTGCAGGAGAGCCAAGGGTCTGCCCATTTCTCTTTCAAACCCACCCCGTTTGTGTGTGTGTGTGTACATGTGTTTATGTTTTGTTTAGCAAATTAATAATCTTAACTCCGCTGGGATTTCGCCACTCAGGTGCTAAAAAATGCACACTCTGATAAGTCTGACTGTGTCGGTGTACTTGTTTATTTAATTCATATTTACACAAGTAAATTAATTCATTTGCCCTTGTACAATAACAACAAGCACCGTTTGCTTGGAAACTTGTTCTCGTAGTTGTTTTTCTCTCGCTCTTCGCCCTCTTATTCTTTCTCTATTCCATTGCAATACCAATGCAGTTGAAGGTGTTTGTGTTTTTCATTCAATCCAGGAAATTGCCCCTTGAGAGACCTTCCATTCAGACAGCTTCCATCTGCATCTTTCTATCTTATTCTTCCGCTTGCATCTTGAGCCGCTCTTTTGTGCTCCCGGTCCCGTTTAACTGGTTTACTTTTAACGCTCCTCCAGTGCTCACCCCTCTCGCTTCCTCTTGCACACCTGCTGCTTGGCAGCTGTCCACGCGCTCAAATTTCTTATCAACGAACGAACAACTCCGGCTGACATCCAAAACCTGGCCCAAACTGCGTTGTTACTTTTCCACAGCAATTCGCTAATTTTCAACGCCTTTTGTCACGGCCCTGTTGCTTTCTTCCTCTCGACTTCTCCTTACTCCCTCCGCCTCCTTTTTAATGCACACACGTAAAGATACAGTAGAACTTTGTGCATAAATAATATTTATAACAACAATTATTATTGGCAAAACAAAAGAACATATGTTTATTACAAGAAGTTTTTTTAAATACCTAGGTCGCACAGTAGCAGTCTTAAATTAATAATTAATTATAATCATTTTGGCTATAAATAACAAATCCTGATACTGATAATTATGAAATCGATGGATTTCTGTAAAATAAGTCTATAAAAATAAAATTAGTTGAGGAACTATTCTACTTGAAGAGAAGTTTGACTGTACACCACACAACTCCGGTGTCGTGCAATTTTGCAATAATTCAAATGCTTGAACATCTGAGTCATCCACAGGTAACTGTAATTCCCATTAGCTACCACTTGCGTTCCGCACTTGTGGATGGTATTCGTCACCTTATCAATATCATTCGACTTATTGTTGTTCGTCTTCTTGATGTTTTGGCAGAATTCATTCATTACTGTGAAAATAATATTTCCAACGATTTTAAAACATTCAAAAATTGAATGGTTTAAATCTAAATAATTTTACATTTTTGTAATATCAAATTGAAAAGTTATTATTTTTTGAAATACACACACAAACAATTAATATAGTCTTGGCACAATCATTTTGTTGATATGCACTCTTTTGTTCGAGCCCAATTTACGATAAGCCCCACAGTGCTTATTTAGCTCGCCGGCGTCTATTAACTCATTATTCATGCTTACGTCCGGCTCACCTACACACTAATAAAAAACTATAAAAAAAGGTAAAGATATACATACATATCTACACTTGTAGAAATTAGGCACAACTTAGATCCACTCACGCAATTTCTTGATTGGGTTGGACTATTTTTTTTTTTGCCTGAGATGAGTTTTCAATTGACTGAAAGGTCAACTAAGTTACAATTGTGTCTTGCTTCTGTCGGACTATCTCTTTCGCACTCTCACTTTTCTTGTGCCAATTCAGCTGTCAACTTTCACTCGTTCGCGTTGTTGTTGTTATTTATAGATGTCGGTGTGCGTATGTGTTGTATGGTAGGGGGCTTATAGGCTTTAAGCTCCAAAATTGTTTTATAGGGAATGGTAAAGGCTTAAAGAAATTTTTTTGAGTCTAACTAGTAAAGAAATCATAATGTTTAAGTAAGAGTTTTCAAAAAATAAAAGATGTAGATATGTACATAAGATTATTTGGCTTGAGAGATTTAAAGCACAAATTATTTAACTATATGCTGTTTCATCGTCGGTAAAATGTTGATTATTAGTTCGACAATTTAGTTTACATTGGTAACAAGAGCACGCTTAAGTTTTATCGCATTAATACATTTTTTATTAGTTTTAGGATCTAATACTTTCTATGAGTCGTTATAAAAATAAATAAATGTATCTTTCAAATAATTTGCTTTTATTAAAAAAATTGCATTTATACCCAATGTTTTCTTCTTTTTTAATTTGAACATTTAGGCTTATTATTATTAAATTTGAGTATTTAAAAATATGGCTTCCATGTCAAAATTAAAAAAAAATTGTTAATGAGAACAATATTGTTAGAATAGTTAACATCGATGACCCAATTTAATATATAATATTGTAAAAAACTAACCAATTCCAATGGAAAATACATATTTACAAAAACGTTTTATCAGCATTCTGACTAATGCAAAGATTTTATGGGCTTTACTAATGACCAAAGCTAATTCACCGCAGGCGGAAACTAATTTGTATGCCCACTTAAATGTCAGTATTTGAGTACGTTGAAAAGAATAGATTAATTTTTTCAACGGAGAGACCAGAAATATACTCAGTTGGTATATAGGAAATTTATTCGGAAGAGATAAGATACATGTTCTTTTGAAACGATTTATTTAAAAAGGTATAAAAAGGAAATAAATTGAATTTTTGGAAAATGGATAATAAAGATCACATTATATATCTACTTATAAACTTCGCGGATATAGCGAAAACTTTCCGCGGTAGCGCTATAAGGTCAAGATCAATATTTTTCTAAATTGAAAAAACATAGTTATGGTATGTTATATACTGAAGTGTCTGATGTGAAATGTAAAGTGCGAGTGTAACCAGAAAAAATACTCTATATAAATGCAAACTGTGCAAATACAACAGCCGCTTGGGTTCCGCTCACGGTTCCGGCCAGGTAAATAAACGATGACATTTTTGTTGTTAAAAATTTATGAAATTCGATTTTCTGTTTCTCGTTCTCACTTAGGTCGAGGAGCATAGGTTGTAATTGTGAGAAGGACGCGGCTGGCGGTGCTAGGCAGGCAATTAACCCACACAAACCCCGAACACGAGTTAACACTTTTGAGTTGATTATAATTGCACTTCGTTTTTGTTTTGCAGCCGCCTGCCAGCCAAAGCCAAGAATTCCACATTACAAAACACCTCACACTGCATTGTCACATTCCCAAGTAAAGCTGCCATGAGTTAAGATCAAGATGCAAGTCCAGGACCTGCTGCTTGCCACCGCTTTAATCGGCGCTTGTTTGCCGCTTGCCGCCGCCTGTTCCTCGCGTGCCGTCGCCAAGCCGCGTCCCACAGCTGCGCCGATCCTGCCGCCGGACAATGTAGAGGTACCGACAACGCCGAGACCCAACGTCACATTTCCGATATACGCCTGTCCGACCACATTTGTCGCCTGGTATTGCCTGAACGACGCCACGTGCTTCATGGTGATGATCCACAACGAACCCCTGTACAATTGCGAGTGCGCCGAGGGTTACATGGGCCCCAGGTGCGAGTACAAGGAAATAGATGGCTCGTACCTGCCAACCAGGAATCGGGTGATGCTGGAGAAGGCCAGCATTGTGAGCGGGGCGACACTAGCGCTTTTGTTTATGGCCATGTGCTGCGTGGTTCTCTACCTGCGACACGAGAAGATGCAGAAGCAGAAGCTGCACGACAGCACCACAACCACAGCGACCGACGGTGGTTGCCAGAACGAGGGAATGGACGAGGTGGATGGTTTGCGACCCCTGCGCCCCGCGAGACGTCCCTTTGGCCCCTGCCGCATCCTATCGCTGGAGGAGGCCCACCTCCAAGCGGTGGCCTCCAATCGCCCCCGGCACTGCAACTAACACTCCGCCACCTAATAAGCCAGCTAGCTGATTTGTTTTTGAATGTCTAACATGTCTCCCCGTTTATTTTAACTGCTTAACGCAACTTTTATTTTAACCATCCAATCGGGATGCCGAATGCTGTAGTTTTAAGAACCTACTGACGTGCCTTTTCAAACTTTAGACCAAGTATTAACGAACGAAATCTGATTGCTCAGAGAGAATGAAAACGAAAAAGCAAAACCTAGAGATAATGCAATGCAATTTCGGCATTTAGCCGCCCAATTATTTATTATACACCTAACTTTATTAAAAACCGCGTAAACTATTAACGTTAATAAAAGCGACAACTAAACAAGAAGCTCTAATTTCTATTCGAACACGAAAATTCAAGAAACTTTATTTCCAGATTTTGACACAACATTGGATTTGGCTAAATTTAAATCTTTTAAAAAACTATCATTATTCAAGAAATTCAAAAATACCTATTTGGGCACAAATTTTGAAAATTTTAGTGGTATCAATTGGAAAAAAAATTCAGCATGAATTTTAAAGCTATAAGTTTTATTTTAAGTTTTGGGGTTGCATGAAAGGTGAAAAGAAGCAGATAAGCACTAAAAATGTCGAAAATTTACCATTTTAAAAAACGATTTCCCTTAAAACATCTTTAAAAAATTGTTCTCCGTTTTCGACAAAAAATAATTTGGCCAATTCTAATTTAAGTTATTGGTGCAGACCTTAACTGTTTTATAACAGTCCCATGACTTCACCTAAATCTGTCAAATAAAAAAAAATTCTTTATATTTTTATTTGCTATTCAATTAAATCGAGTACTAATCCTTTCGTTTGGGTGTCCCAATTTCCAGTTATGCCGCACAACAACCAGCCGTCGCCCGGGGACGATCAACTGGGACCGCCAAAGGCGGACTTTAGCGCCCCGCCGCCGTACGAGGCGAACGATGGTCATGGCCAGCAGGTGGCACTGCCGGCTCAGATGCCAGCACTGGCTTTAGCCCCATCCGATCCTGGCCAGATGCAGATGCAGGTGCAGCTGCCGGGCCAGGCCGACCTGATGAACGCACAACTGCCGCCAGAGATCCACGGGAAACTGCCGACATACGAGGAGGTGCAGATGGAGAAGTCGCTGAACGGAGAGCTGCCGCCCGCCTTTTTGACTCTGCCCTCCTCGCAGCAGCTTCCACCGCCACCCAATCCGTTGCTGCCGCCAAATCCGCTTCGCGACGGAACCGCTGCCGTGCGATCCGCCCAGCCGGCACTCACGTTCATCGCCATCGATGCCAGCGATCCGGAGAACAGCCTGTCGGCCACGGACAACTTGCTCGGCACAGACATCATGTTCATCACGGCCTTCATTGTGGCGTTTCTGTTCAACTGGATTGGCTTCCTGATGCTCACCTGTTTCTGTCACACGATCGCCGCCCGATACGGAGCCCTGTCGGGATTCGGATTGTCTCTGGCCAAATGGACACTGATCGTAAAGCACTCGACGGATTTGGCCTCGCACGAGAACTCCTGGTTGTGGTGGTTGATCTGCGCCTTCGGCTTTCTCATCAGCATACGCGCCCTGATCCAATATGTGAGCATCAAGCGATCGTGGCGTTTGCTCTCCGCTTCTGCGCAGGAACGGCTGCTATTCTTCTACTAGGTGCGCCAGGTGGCTATCGAGTGGCTGCCATGTAAATACGTTGTGGGTGGCTAGGAAGCTCGTAGTATCTTACCCGATCCTAACATCCCAAAATTCCCCAGAACCGGCACACAAAAACCAAACAGAATCAATGCGAACCAATTTCGGAAAGTTTTCGAAATCTCTAGGGTTTCTTAAGTATACCATTGTATGTATTAGTTATTTTTCCAATCTATCTAAATCGGAGTAATTAGAGTGTACAAACTTACATTTAATTGTATTTACTTGCCAAATCCTTCTTATTTCAATTCAGAATCCAAATGGGAGTTAGCCTACAAGTGTATTACAAATTGTAATTTACAATTATCAGAAATAGGAACTTTATATTGGTAGCCACTGGTTTTTTGCATTCTTTTAGAAATGGAAAGATAGCAGGAAACGAAGGAGCGCCAATCCACTTTGAAATAATTTGGAAATTGCGTGTTTCAAGCGTTTACGAAAACCCTAAAGGAATTCTTTTAAAACTTCTAGCGATTTCGTGAGCACTCCGAACTGTAGGTTAGTATTTTCTCTAGTTTCTGTGTTGAATAGCGCATCTTAGTCAACTGTAGCATAATGACGTTAACTATGTGTGTTGAACGGTAAGAGGCGAATACTTATTCGCCTGCACCTCCCAATCGATTATAACTGTAAATGTATGTGAAATGTGTATGGATATATATCCCCTCCACTCTGCTACAAAATCCCCCTTAGGCCATTTAGTGGCGCCCATGCACTTGAAACAAAGACACAAAACAAACCAAAAAAAAAAGAGAATAATTATGAAAGCTCGAAAAGGAAAATATGCCACCCATATTTTTATGTTGAGCCTACTTTACGCTGTGGTACTTAATTAATTAACTACACAAGAGCCAGCAGTAATACGAATGCTAAACACACAAAAAACAACTATTGCTAGTACATATGATTATTGCCTATTATAACGTTTAAAATTAATACGTTTAATCCCTTTGTATGTAAATCAAACGATGCTTAGTGCATTGCAGGGCCGCAGACTCCCGAGATCAGCGCCAGTTTTATGCAAAGTAAATAAAATCGAATGATGTCATTCAAAGAATGTGCCGACTTTTTGTTTTGAATCCAAGGGCGATTTTTAAAAAATATGATTTTTTGATCGGAAGAAGTAAGTACTGCCTAATTTATTAAAGCCCTTGAAAATTGTTGTAATAATATACAAACAAAATAAGAAAGAAGAAAGAAAGCCAGCCGAAGATTATAAGAACATGAACATGAACTGCAAATTACTGATGCCGCCCAGCGATCAGGGCAGGAGCAGTACGATCCTAAGATCGTCAAAATAAAGAAAATATGGCAATGGAATCCATTATTTGTTTATGGTTAACTATCCTTTTTATACCCTTGCAGAGGGTACTATAATTCAGTCAGTAGTCTGCAACGCATTGAAGGAGACACATCAGACCCCATAAGGTACATATATTCTTGATCAGCATCACGATCTGAATCGTAATACGTCTGTATAACTGTACGTCTGTCCGTTTCTATGTAAACAAGTCTCTCAATTTAAAATTAATGGAAATAAAATAATACCGATGTTGTTACCATGAAATCTAATTCGAAATACAAGAGAAAAATTACGGCACAATAATCTTTATCCAGTAATTACTTCGATTTGATTTAATTTCTTTCGATAAGCTAAGACACAGTTTTCTTAACATTTCTGTTTCAAAAAAAATATATTTTAGATATTTATGTACATATGCAAATAAATCATTCAAGTCGCTATGCAAAATTTAAAAATAAACAGTCGGCCTCGGCTTACTGTGGTTTGGGCACTTACTAACCTGGGAAGATGTCTTTACTAGGTTTGAAGGTGCACTTAAAAGGTTGGATGGTGGGTGCAATGGATAGAAATTCTTTTAGGATGAAAAGTGACTAAAAACAATTAATATCTGACTGGTAACACTGGGAAGCCATTTTTTTTTTCGTCGTCGTGAAATTTTGGAGCACGAAAGTATTTTCGCGTAGCAGCAACTTGCTAAAGAAAAAAAATCATAGTGCAATAATCCAGTAATTGGCAAAGCGGCGTTGCATCATTTCTGAGGTAATTCATACTATTCGTAGTGCTTTTGTGCTTTGCTTGTGCATTGGTTTGGGCTGCAAATATTTTGTGTGTGTATCTGTTGGGTAAATTTTCTTTATCTCGTTCCCTGGGAATCTGAAAATAGTAATTATTGATTTTCATCGGGGCTCCCGCGTGTACATGCGAATAAACTAATGAGATAATAGTGTAATTGCTATTTACGAGGACATTGAGTGCTTTTTTTTATTGTCATACGCTCTATTTGAGGGGTTTGCGAATCTGTTGGGGTCGTATAGTTTATTTTAGCATACGTGTAGGTTAAACTAATGCATGTAGTGTAAGTCATTGGGGCGAAAACAAGTTTTTTATTGCTAGAAAATGCGTTTTCTTTATTTTTTTCTGTCTATCACCTTCTCGTTCGCACCCGCATGCCCGGCCGGCTTTCTGATTGAATCAATTACCTATACACACGCACTGTCTGTTCCGCCATCTTTTTTTCATTCTACGTAAGAAACATTTAAGGGTTTTTGGCTTTTTTATTGGCAAAAAAAAGTGTCAGAAATTTGTTAGTGTCGCAAAAACCTGTTTTGATAGTTATTAATGTAAACTGCTGACTAGAGCGCCAAAATGGTTCCATTTCTTTTTCTTCTTTGTTTTTGTGTATGTATATATGTATGTAAGAGATGGTGTGTGTATACGCACGCAAGGTTGATTTACGGGTTTTGTAGGGTTTAATAACAACCCGTAGTAGAAAACAGGGCCGGGGCTTACTAACCAAAATAATATACTCCCGCTTGCATCTTAATATTTGTTTTTGTTTTGTTTGTGCCGTTTTATTTTCAGCTTGTATTAAGTTAATTGCTCGCTTAAATACGAATCCTACATTTCACATCCCATAAACTCTCCCACAAAACCAAACACCCTCCAAAATTATGGTCAGGTATGCTGCACATCATCCCCCGAAAATCCAAAATTATTTATGTATCTCCTGCTTGAAATTAAAAACCCATTTGCGCTTATAAGATTATATTTTTCCAAACAGCAAAAGACTTAAAATATTTTTAAGTTTGACAACTTAGTAGTCAACATGTTAACTGTACATTTCTTTATTTGAATGACATGTGAATTTAGCCAATTTATAACTGTGTGTTTTTCCATTTAACAATTTTGAGTTTAAATATTTAATTCAATATAAAATAAATAATATTTTGATTGCCTACATAAAAGTAACCTTGCCTTATAACAGAATCGCAGGTCCTGGAAAAGTATAGTTGTAACTCAAATAAATCCAAAACTCTGTTGCTTAAAATGGTAATGAAAATACCAGTTTACTAATTAATCTCTCTTTTATTTTTGCAGCGTAAAGGTCAACGGAAATCCACAGAATCGTTTAGCAAACAACCTTAAGGTCAACGGCAACATGGCATTCCGTGGCAACCAGAACCGCAACCGCAACTTTGGAGGCGGCAACAACAATTATGGCGGACCGATGGGCGCCAACCGCATGGGCGGCATGAACATGTCGCCATGGGAGTCGCAGAATCCCGGCGGCGGCCAGTTTGGCAACAACATGCGCCAAGGTGGCGGTCAGATGAACGCCCAGGCCATCAACCTGGCCAACAATCTGCTGAACAACCTCTTCAGGAACCAGAATCCACCATCGCTCCTCGATCTGCCTCGCGGCGGCGGTGGCATGGGAAATCGCAACCAACGCGGCGGCCCGGTATGTACAAAGTTAAATTTCCCCCAAATTAGTTGACTATGCCAACAGACACCAATTGTTATTAAACCTATGTTACTATTATTAATACTGTTGCTGGATTCGTTGTGTTGCGAATTGGTTTTGTGCCGTGGAGGTCTGCAATATAATTGAATGAAAAATGTGCCCCTTTATTTTAATTTATATTTTTGTCTAAACTTTGCTTTTCCGTAATATGTATTAAAAGAAATGATTTGAAATTGTGAATTCAACTTTCGGATTTTCTTCAATAATCAATTATTAATTTAATAAACACAAACTAAACAAAAATTATATCGAACTTAAATATGCACTTTTGCACTCCACAGCAGAACATAATTTTTGTGTTTATTTTCCCCATTAGTTAGATTGTTATATGGCCAAAAGTAGCTAATGCTTTTCCTTTAAGAGATAAACAAATCCAGAATATAATCGTAGCTTGTAGTTTACTAAACCGACAGCCTAAAAACAAAATTAGCAAAATGAATATTGTGAAAAAATAAATAAGAGAACATTGTGCAGTGTAGTCAGGATTTAAAAGATGTAACGAGGAGGATGGATGTGGTAGTATAAGGTTTTCAATATAAAAACGCATTTGTTCCATTTAAATGCAATACTTTTTTAGTTCCGTAGAAACTGCACACAAGATTATTAAAGAGATAAAAGAAACGAAGAATTTATAAAATACACACGCATTGATAACGAAATGTACCTATTAAAACATGTACCGCCAACACTTGTTCCACTTAACGATGAAAAGAGTATGATGATGATCTCTGTATGTCAAGATTGAATCATAAGTAATTTATTTGCAATAATTCTTTTACTAGATGTACTTAAGCAATTAATTACCTTTTTACCATATTTATAATTCGAATATTATCCGAAAATCCACTGCCAAGTCAACCAAACTTTTCTTGGCTGGACTTTAATTGCCACAACGCTTTTCTAATTTATCCATTATCTATTTTTATTCTCTCTTCCAAAACCAAAAATGCCAAACTCAAAAAATTCGATGCTTTTCAATACACCTCAAATATCGAATATCGAAACCGCATCGTCTTGCATATTTCGAATAATGAATTCCATATTGTTGTTGCTGCTCCGGCATATATAATTGCTGCTGTTGTTGTTGCTGCTGCCGTCGCTGTTGTCGTTGTTGTTGTCGTTGTCGTTGCTGTTGCGTTTTGTTGCCGTTGATGCCGCCTCCTCTTCCCATTTGCAATAATCCATTGCAATCGACGAAAATCAATATCCCCGCCCAAAAACAAAAATTCCATTAACGGCCAACAATATTTTCGAAAATCAAAATGAAATTGAACAATATTAAATGCAACGCACACTCACTCAACGCACACACACACGCGCAATGCACATACAATATGGCCAATATGCGAATCTCCACCGACGATGCGATACTGTATACTGTACTATATGATGCTTCCCGTGCGACGCCAATGATTGATTGACCTATTGCTCGATCGATTGATATTGATCGCAATGCGATGTTCTAATCTGCTCTGCTCTGAAACTGAAACTGATCCGATCTGGTACTGGTACTGCTTGATGGTGCAACATAATTACATCCAAAACCACAATATGTAATACCTATTAATATCTTAATGTCTAATGCAAATTCATCGCCAATTCTTCTTCGACGTTCCTGCCTCTGAAACTCAAAAATCCGAATTCCATTTTTAAATGTCACTCGCCGCCACACGCCAACGAATATGAATATATATTTATGTATGCAATATATATCCAACTATCCCCGTCGACTGATTGGCCGCCGCAACTGCTCCGTCGAACTGACCAAAATCAATATACAATCTGCTCCATGTGCCATTATTTTTATATATATTTAACTATATATCAACGTTTGCTGTACATCTCTGTAACGATATTTTCCCTGCAATTATCAATTATCTGTTCAATTTGATCGCTCCGCCCCCCACAAAAATATTGTAAATGGTCGACCGCGCCATATTGTCTCTGTCCTTTCGAAAAATGCTCTATGAATTTTGCCTCTGTTTGTAAATCGAAATCGAAACCCAAAACCAATTCACATATGCTCCGTGTGAAAATGTTATTGTCAATCCAAAATGAAATACGAAACAATGTGTAGATGGTCAGTCGCGGCGGCGGTGCCGGCAATCGTCTCAATAACCGTCGTGGCCAGGGAGGTGGCTTCCAAAATCGTGGCGCCACTGGTAGTGGACCCAAGCCCCCGCAAAAGCAGGGCGGCGGCGGTATTCGCAAGCAAAATGCTTTTGATCGTGCCAAGAAACTTTTGGCCAAAAATGCCAACCAAAATAAAAAGAAGGAACCCACTCCTGGCGAAAAGAAAATCGAGAGGTAAGACTTACTACAACTTTTCCAAAACAAAACCAAAACCACAACAAAAAGAATACATTTTTTGCTGCCCACCAAATCGAAAGAATCTTATTTCTTTCACTTTAAGAATTAAACTAAGCAGCGCAAATATTTAAATAAAACCGTTTTACATAAACTAGGTATTCCAATTCTCTAATTGCGTTTCCTCATACATCTCTAAAACGTAAATTTAACTAAAATTAGTTTCTCATTAGGGATTCTGCCTTTTTGATGCCGTTTATGTTGATGTGTGTATGTGGCAAAGTGGGCGGGAACACGCCCATTCGGGTAGAGGAACTTTAACTTCTAGTTAAATGTGTTTAAACTTCATTCTACCCAAACTTGTACTTTTTGTTTAAATATGTATTTTTTTTGAAAACAATTAGATTACAAACTGTTATTAAAATTTAAGGTTGGGCTCTACCTTTTGCGTTTTGTGTATTTTCTAAACATATTTTTAAAGCTTTTGAAATAGAAAGGAGAGAAATAATAAATTAAACCTACATTTGCATTTTGAAAGGATGTTCTTAATTTAAATTTTAATTTGCATTCTAGTTTCTTAAAGTACTGTATATATATTTAAATACCAGCTCCTCTCCTTTTTGTTTTAAAAACATTTATATATCATTAGTTTATTTCATAAATATTTTGTTTTAAAAAATGTGATCGTAACTTTAAGATTTCGTTTTCAAAGAAATATGCTGTAAGTACTTATCGGTTTTCTGGGAATAATCAATTCAACTTAGACTTTAAATATTAAACATTAAAATTTATAGCATATTTCTTCTTCGCAATTCATTCGTACTCACGTTCGTAACGCATCAAAATCATAGCTAAAGACATTTACCATTATATGACTCACCTATCGCCTGTACTGTACGTATCATAAGTATAAATTGCAGCGAGAACCACTCTCAACTCCTCTAATATTGTATTCTCTTTCCTAGATCCAGACCAGACGCATCCTCGTCTTTGCATTAAAGATTAAAAATAACTAATGAATTTTACTTTCTCTATTCCTTTCCCCAAAACCCGATGATCTCTGATCAAAATGTATAGCCCCACCAAGGAGTCGCCGTACGCTAGTGTGCCGAACGACATGTTCTACTGTCACCTGTGCAAGAAGCACATGTGGGACGCCAACTCGTTCGAGAACCACATCAAGGGACGCACCCATCTGATGATGCGCGAGGGCATCGAGGAGAGCTACCGCCTGAAGGCCAACATGATCCGGCAGGAGGCCAAGATCGCCGAGCAGCTCAAGTCGATCGAGTTCGATCGCTTGAAGCGCATGGGAAAGAGCAAGCAGCGCCAGCTGGACTACTGCACCATGTGCGACCTGAACTTCCATGGCCACATCTCGACGCATCGCAAGTCGGAGGGCCACTTGCAGCTGAAGAAGTTCCTGCACCCCAAGTGCATTGAGTGCAACAAGGAGTTCGCCACTCGCATCGACTACGACACCCATCTGCTGTCCGCCGAGCATCTGAAGAAGGCCGCCGAGAGCAACACCAAGGTGGGCGAGCGCAAGCGCCAGACCTTGCCCATCAGCACCGAGGAGGAGGAGACACGCGATCTCCGCCTGCCCCAGAAGCGCAAGAAGAAGCCGGTCAAGAAGGAGGGCGAGGCCGCCGATGGCGAGTCGAAGAAGGAGGGCGCCGGCGATGGCGAGGCTGCCGAGGGCGAAGAGGCCGAGGGCGAGGAGGCCAAGGAGGGTGACGAGGCCGCCGACGAGACCAAAGAGGGCGAGGAGCTCAACGAGAGCCAGGAGGAGGAGGAGGTGGCCCTGCCAGTGGATCCGGAGGACTGCATTCTCGACTTCACCGACGGCGACGAGATCCCCAGCGAGGTGGACACCCGCCTGCCCAAGTACAACTGGCAGCGCCCGGTCGGTCCCGGCCTGATCTCCAAGCTCGAGTGCTACGAGTGCTCGGTGTGCAGCAAGTTCTTCGACACCGAGGTGACCGCCGAGATTCACTCGCGCACGGCCACCCATCACCGCAACTTCCTGAAGTTCATCAACGAGAAGTCGAGCGACACGAAGATTGCCCAGAAGCGCGCCGCCGCCGCTCTGGAGGAGAATGAGCGCAAGAAGCGCAAGGTGGAGGAGGCCGAGGCCCCAGCCGCCGAGAGCACCGCCACCGAGGAAGCCGCCGAGGGCGCCGAGGGAGAGCTGTACGATCCATCGGAGGCTACCGGTGATGATGACGATGTGGAGATGGTGGAGGACAATGCCGAGGGCGAGGGCGACGAGGAGGTCGAGGGAGAGGGCGAGGACGATGGCGCCGGCCAGGACAACGGTGAGGAGGAGATGGAGGCCCAAGACGAGGAGCAGGAGGCCGAGCCCGAGCCCGAACCGGAACCAACTCCGGCCAAGGCTCCGGCTCCCGCTGAACCAGCTCCCGTGGCCAAGACGCCAGCCAAGACCCCGGCCAAGGCCGCAGCTCCAGCGGCCGCTGCAGCGGCGACGCCGGACGCCTCGCCATCTCCGGCCAAGAAGGCAACGCCAGCTCGTGCCGCCGCCGGTCCGAAGGCCACGCCGCAAAGACAACGCGCCCGCGGTCGCTACAACCGCTACTAATTAATTAGGCGGCGGAGGAGGAGCTCGTAATTTAACATTAACACATAAACACTTTAACTCTATACAAGAAAATATATATACATTCACGGCCAGGAGGAGGACGATGAACCATGAACCATGAACAAACAGATGAAATCGATCTCTTGCCACATTTTGACATTTGCATCCCGATTTGCATAAAATAATCTGAATGAAAGGAGGAAACTGACAAGGAGACGGACGCCTTCACACTGAAACAACAGTTGACCACATTGTATCTGAAGACGCAACAACTTCTCGATACTGTGGCGGGGGAGAACACAAACAACTTGGTTGAATTTGAATCGATTTCCATATGATCTACACTGAATTCCCCCTCCCAGCACTGCATACCATACCAGCCAACAAGCAACCATTCAACTTATGTAATCATAAAATTTTAAAATAAACAAAGAAACAAACGTAGATGTAAAACAAATGCGATTTCTGTTTTGTTTTTTCGGGTTGACTAATATAGATTTCAAAAGCACTACCACATTTTTGTCAAATAACTATATACTATACAGCTACACATTTCGTGTTTAAATATTTATTTATCGTAGTGCTTTGGTTTATAAAATTAAATTAAATTTAGAAGTCCAGAGCCCTTTTCAAGTTCAAATAAATTACACAAGCACTTATTTTACATTCACACATATTCGGTATATTTTATGCTACAAGTTGCGTTTCGGTTTTGAGATTATCTGATGAGCTGAGCATTTAAGTTGACCCTTGATATGGTGTGACACAAAGTGAGGGATATTATTTACAGCTTACGAGACTAGGATTCGCTGTTCCTTTATGATTAATATTATTTTTATTGAGTGAGACCCCACCGAGCCACCGAGCCATGGGGATAAGTACTTGGGTGCAATGTGAGGATCGATCGATATTAGTGAAAGTCCAGAGTATTCGCCTCCGTCATGGTGGTGCGCATGCGGCTCTGGTCGCTCTGGGAGCGACGGAGGCCACCTGGACGCCATCCGCTCCTCCAGCGCTTGATGCAGCTCAGCAACGACCAGTTGATGGACTTGGAGCGACTCAGCACGTAGACGTACGGATCGGAGGTGAAGTGCAGAGCCGTCAGAACGTCGGCGATTATGAAGAATTTGTTCGACGCTGGAACTCGGTCTGGAGCAATGGCCAACGGGATTGCAATCTTGAAGAAAAGTTCAAAAGTATTTTGGTTTTATGGATGCATTTATAAGAAATAAGAAGAGTTCCTAAATGAAATGAGATTTGTTCTTCAGCTTGTAGAAATAATTGTATACTTTTTGGCGACCATCGCCCAAACAAAGAATTTTTCTGTTTAACGTATCGTTTGTCGGAACAAAAGAAAAATTGGCATGTGGAAAATATATTTTACTTATTTTCCGTTAAGAAATATCTAACTCCTTTTCTTCATTAAATATAATAATAATATTTATGCAAAACCGATAATTTCTTTGTTATAAAACGTAACGTAAAACGTATGTAACTCAAGATAAAGTTTTTAGTTTACTAGAATTTTTGCAATACTTCTACAGCTATCTTGAAATAATCAGATATTATTGAATGATAACATTTATATGTACATGCAAATGTAAACAAGCTTCGACTAAGTAAAACCTTCAAAACAAATTTCAAACAGACAGTTTTATTCCTACGAAGTGGATAGGCCATTAAAACATAACTTTCTCAATGCAAAAGCAACTAAGGTAAGGAGATATCTATATATTTTTAGTTATCCCCCAGGACTCACCATCTGTGGCATCCAGCAGATGACGAAGGAGATGCTTAGGAAGGCCATCAGCTTGGCGAACTTGATCTCGACCGGCGATGAGTCCGTGGCCGCCATTGTGACGCTGACGCTGTGCCGGAATGGCCTCGTCGGCTGGACACTGCGATGGCTGTTTCCGCTCCCGGAGCTCAGCTGCGTCTGGTAGAGGGTGGTGCCACTGCTGCTCTCCGGATCGATGCTAATGGTGCTGGCCTTGTCCCGCGAGACCAGGTCGTAGTGCATGTGCCGCTTGGCCGTGCGGCTCCTTCCAATCACACAGAGCAACGTGTGGGCCACGAAGAGATTGCACGCCACGATCACGATGCACAACAGGGTACCTGTTCGAAATCGATTCCTGGCTCAGTTTGGACATCCAATAACCGGATTGTAGGAACATTACCAAAGACCATAAAGAGCACCGCGTACGACTTGTTCCACACTCCCGGTGCATCGCGATATCGTATGCACTTCAGGCGATCCGGATTCGATTCATCAATATACGCGCCGAACCCAACGAATGGCAGGAACGTGATGATCACGGCCACGATCAGTATGCTATTGATGCTCTTGCGGATCAGCTCGTAGGTGATGTGCTTTGGGGGGAGATAAATTACCATTAGATTAATGATTTGTAGGGTCTACCATTTCCTGCCTACCTATCAAGTCATTGGTTGTAATTAACCAATAAATTACCTTTTACTCTTATTTAAAATTTAAGAAATTGTTACATAAGTTCAGAAAGTATTAAAGAGAATTTGTAACCACTTTGTTTTTTATATGTTATTGTAAAATACGCTTATTGTCGTATCTATTGACTACTTAGGCAGGCTGATTTCTGTTTTGTTTTTCAGCTTTAACAGAAAGTCAATAAGTTTTAGAACAAATCCTTTGCTTCAAGACCATTTATCACTTGATACTAATTAAATTCGTTTCAATCTTGAAATAAGTTCTCCCTTTCTTATGGTTAACTTCGCACCTTGTGGTAAATGAAGGGTCTGGCGAGGGCCATCCATCTTTCGGCTGCCATCACTGCTGCAATACAACCGGAACTTAGGCCGAAAAACCGCCAGACCACAAGTCCGACACAGTCCATTCGCACAAAGGACTGCAGGACATCCTTGGGAAGATAGATTTTCAGCAGGGTCGTGGTTAACATCCCCAGCAGAGCCAAAAGATTGTTGGTGGCCAGGCATCTGAAATGGTTAAGGACTCCCATAATTTGAGATCATCTTGGTTTAACGCATTTTTACTCGATAATAAATTTGTTTCGTTCCATTAGCGTTGAATTGCCGAGCAACCATTATGTCCTATCATAAACCGAGAATGTAAGTTGACGGAACAATAAGTGTAATAGCGAAGTGTTTTTAATTTATTGCCACTTTGGTAAGACGAAACTTTCAATCAAGATACCTTATAGCTGCCCCATATGGTTGCACAACTACTGGTTTTGGCTGCCTCAGACGTGACTCGCACTTTAAGCGCTTTATTGTATGAAATAAGTAAGCTGCCAAAAGTATTATATGGATATCTTTTGTAGTCAAAAAAGAATACCCAATTTGTATTATAGCTGCTTATAAATATCTTATTAAACAATAAACAAACATTCTATGCTTTATTGATAAGCTTTGAAGGCCGAGCGTCTCTTAAAACAATATTATAAATATTATTATTTTTCTAGAAAAAGCGTATTTGAAAATTTGAAATTGAGACTGCATAGATCAAATATTATATGTAAATTTTTTTGATTTTTTAATTGTTTCAAATTCTAAAACTCAGAAAAAAGTAAACAGCATTTAGGTTAAAAAAAATATATTTATATTTATTACAACTACTAATAAATACCTGAGTGCAATCATTGCCCAACATACCCAACTTGTAAATATAAACAGTATCGGTTTGATGAAAAATGTGTCTGTCGATAGTCAGTTTGATAAAGTATTTCCCTTTAATTGGAACAGTCCCATATTGCATTTGTGAAAAATGTGTGTGTATTTATTTTTGATTGTTTTGGGGCGCCGTTGACACAGGAAACTCATTTGTCACCGGATGAGATGAAAATCTATAGATGTAGGGCTTTTCCATTGAAAATAAATGAAAACTTCTGTTTGGGTTAGAATAAAAAATGGGATGAACAGCTCCCGGGGATCGAAGGTGGGGCAATATGCTCAGCTTATCGTCGCCGGCGCCATGCCTTTATTCATTTTATTTGAATTACTAACTTATATATGTACCTTTGAAAATGTTTGCAACGCAGAAACTACTAAAAATCAATTTATGGTGCGTTGTAAAAATTCAACTGGAAGCAAAAGCTCGAAAACTGCTCATTACAGGGCGAATATGTCTAAATTTTCGATTTGCAACGAGCAGTGCAAAGTTGTGTTGCTGACTTGTAATAGCAAACTCATTGTTTATTTTCGCAGTGGGGAAATTCACATTCCGGTTCTTTTCTAGGGGCGAAAAACAATAAGATTGCCTGTGATGTCATTTGGATACCCTGATTTATCGACACCGCTCAAGTGCTCAAGTGCCAATCACCGGGCTCATTCAATCAATCAAATTACAGATCAAAGGCTCTGCCAAAAGGAGGCCTCGTGTTCGGAGTGGAGCTCTCCTTAATTTCTGCTCCCTTGATGGCTTGAATTGCTGGCGACAGCAATTTGCGCATATTACGCATACGCACTGTCGTCTCAGCAAAAAATCGAGGGAAGGGTGCAAATTAGAATAAAGCTCAGTGAATCTGTCAGGGGCCAATGCTGATAAATGCAATAAAAATTATGACAAATACTTGGCATATAAGCCTAAGGAATTTTTTATTGTGTCATAAATATGACTTTGTCAGTTATATATATTATAAATTACACGCCCTTTAGGATTGCTTAATTTCATGTAGACAACCTGAGACATTAAGTCATTAAATATGCTTTTCCTTGTAAGTTTACTATGACAATAAAAAGTCTAAAAACTATAAATAAAAAGAAAATAAGATATAAACAGCTTGCCAAATTATTGGCTCTTAATTTCCGAATGGAATTTGAATGTGCCAATCTGGTCAAGCTCCGATCTCTTGTCTTTAGTTACACCATAAAGCTTTTAATGCATTCGCAATTGCTGCATTCCCATGTTGCCGATAAGATTGCATTAAACAGGCTGGAATACTGTCTGAATCTCACCGGCAAAACACATGGCCACTGAACTAATTCCGTCATTTGATAAGATATGCAAGAAACCAAAAACAAAGCCCGGCCAAATAAAACAATTCAGACTATGCAAATCGGTCCCGCATCGGCATAAAATCGAACACTATATAGTGGCCGCAGTTGAGAGCAGGTTGAATAAACTAACATAGCCATGAACTGGCCGCAAACAGTCACAAACATTAAGAGCATAAAATGAGTAGCTGTTACACTTTGAGAAAATATGAAAAACAGATTACTTTGGGTGGTCTAATTAGGCTTCGATGTTGTATACTTTTCGCTAGTTTCAAAAACTTACTATAAATATTATGCTATTTAAACTAAACAATTTTATTTTTAGTTTAATATTATACATATATTCGGAAAGGAATGTTAAAACTATTGTTCTTTAGTTTAGATCGTTTTAATCACCTTTAACTTAAGGCATTTCAAAAAGCTGTTATTAAGTGTTAAAGGTTTCGCCGCCTTTGCAGTTAATTGTACAAAATAATAACCAAATGTTAATGATTTTTCTCAATGCATAGGTGCACTCACCGCAACATGAGCGTGTATTTGCTGTTCTTGTTGTGTTTTTTACGCGCCAAAATAAAGAGGGCCAGCGAATTGCCAAAAACGCCCAGAACCATGACAATGGTTCCAATGATCAGGCGATTATGATTCGCATAGAGGGCCTTTGGAGCCGCCGCAAAGGTTGCATTTGTCGGCGCCAAGGGGTCCACAGCAGGTGTTGTTGAGCTGTCCATTTAGCCGGTGTGATAATTGTACTCGATGGCAATTGAGGTGAAAATTTAACTGGTTGCAAACGATATTTCTTTTTCACAAATGAGCCTGCCGCACAAACATAGTCGCTCGCACTTGCAGTAGATGGAAACCCGTTTCGATAGCCAAATTGGAATTATTTTCTTAAGACACTTAATTAATGATTAGAGCGCTCGACACTTGATTAACCGACTTGTACTAAGTGTGTATGTGTGTAATATATATGCGATGCCGATTCGATCCGAGGAGCGTCTGCAGTCAGCCAGGCGTCGATTTAGAATGACTAGTCCACCGAGCGGCGCGTTCGTCGGCTGCTGCCTTTGGCCCCAAGCTATATACTATATACGAAAGTGGGTGGTTGGGCAGATCGGAACGGGCGGGGCGGGGTCTCCAGGGGGTGCGGCTCCTTGCTCAACAGTTGGCAAGCACTCGGCCTCGGCTCTGGATCGGCTTCGCTTCGGCTGGCGCCGCCGTTGGTGGTCGGCCGGACGGATCGGATGTATCATGCAGTATACTATACTTATACTATACAGCCCATAGACACCCCACTGAACCGTCCCAACCCAAAACCAACACCCACAGGCAGAACCACCCCATCGAGAATGCACAGCTCGTGCCAGCGCCTTTAAACGTGTGCGAACGGTCAAAATAGCACGACAAATTTTATTGTTTTATACCCTATCAAATTGGGCTGCCCAAAAATATCAATTTTATCTGGAAATATTATTTTCCAAGTGATTTTTTTTAGGAAAATATGACCAGTTTATATTTCTAATTTTTATATATTTTAAAATATATTTATAAACTTATTCAAGATCTCGAATTCTACTTTAATTTTTAAGTTGAAAAGTTTATATAAAAATGAAATTCACACTTGACCTGAAAGCATTTGTAATTATGGATTTTACTCATAAAAACTTAATTCTGTGAAAAAAAACGCTAAGAATAATAAAAATAAAGAAAGAAAAATAAGAATAAAAAAATTGTAATATTTCTGTTCAACGTTCTAAGAATTACAAAGATAAATGAGAACCTAATTTCGTCTTTATTCAATTTATTCGCATCTAAAAATAAATATAGTTTGTAGGTGTTACAGAAAATTTTTTAACATTGTTTATTACTTGTTTTATTTTTTATCTCGTTTCTAAGCTATATTTGATGATACATTTTAAATATTTTGGTTATGTGGCCTAAGAATACTGGGAATCGAAGAACGTATTTGAACAGTCACTTTTTAGATTGTAAAGAACAACAAAACAAAATTAAATTTTTAACTATTGCACATTTTTTAGATTCATTTAAATTTTTTTGTGACTCCTTTCTTTAAATTGAGTGATGACTAAAGAGAAAATTCACACTTCCGTGATCGACTTTACGTTTACTATTGTAATCGGATTTTTATCTAACCCCTATCTCGTTAACACGAACTGTTCACATGATATTGTCGGAAGCTTACTTTCCCAATAAAAATGTTTATTGATGTATTAAAACGGCTTACTAAACCTCAGATACTTATGATAAAATCCCTGAAAATAATGCAAGAAAGTGTATCTACGGAGGAGTACACTGAGTGCTATTTGTTATGCTTGTTGATTGAGCTTTTTGAATTAACTTGCCAGGCGTTCTATTGAAAATTAACAATTTAGATTTAGCCATTTGTAATTTTTGAAGTGATTTTCTGGATTTGTAGTTGCCGCCGAAAGTTCGGAAGCTAATTCATCAAAGAAAATGTAATAAACTTAATGATTCGATGAAAATAGTATAAGAAAACTTATACCTATTTAATTGAAAGAATCGCATACTTGCATTTCGAATGGGAAATTAGCCACGAAAAAAAGCGGAAGCCGGCAATCGGCGATGAGGAGATCCATTTCGGGATGGTTGAAATGGGATGCCTGCTCTTTGTTGTGGCGACAACGGGGCGTATGAGGAACTGGAAATAAAAATGCTACATCTACAGCTGGACAGAATTAACGAGCCTGCGGCTGTGTGATGTCGTCCTTGTGGTGAGGAATTGCGGTTCAAGTATCATCCCAACGCCTTCTGCAGACGTCATGCGGTTGGACTATTTTTAGTTAATTCCCCGAAAGGCAACAAAACTCAAAATGTGAATGCTGCTGCTGTCCTAGAATTGGGTGTCCCTTGATATCCTCGTTAAGCGTCACTAGAATTGGTTTCGGTGTCTATTAATTGTACGCCTCGAAATTGGACGCCCAAAGCAACGTGGACAGCAGGCCATATATTTCGGACCATTCGGCGTGGGGTGGATTTTATGGCTGGGACAAATAAAAATTGCTTTTTGGTGGCTCAAGGGTTGACTGACCTCTGACCCTCCTCGGCGCGTTTTTGCAAAATTAAATGAATAAATAATAACGCACTATTTGCGCTTATTCGGTGAGCACTTCTCAGACATAAAGCGGCTGATTAATGGGCCAGGATTTGCACCCACTTGGGGATATGAGGTCATGACAGGGTACTCCACTCGTGACGCCAATTAATGGCACATTGCAGTTCGTTCTAATATGGCAAATAAGCTCCGAGTTCCCTGTAAACCCCCAATATCGTCGTGGATTGTTTGTAAATACCGATAAGGTCGTAAAAGACACACTGAAATGGTTGGCAAACGTGTCTGTTGACACATGAAATTACACTGAAAATAAACCGTAGATTAAAAAACAATGTCATTAAATTGCTCAATATGTCTGTTATGACTGCTTATTTTGCTCAATTTATTCTTTTTAAAACAATTAATCAAAAACAATAAAGTCATTTAAGGGAGTCCTTAAATGTTGTGCACTCCAAAAATTATTATTTTTTAAAATCGTATTTATTTAAATTTTCTAGAATGAAATTTGCTTTCCCTTGGCTAGTGCAACTCCCGTTTATGAGCCATTTTTGCAATTTTATTTGTGTTTAATAAAGCTCATGGCCCAATCGACTTCCAATGTTATTGTTTGATTAGACCTTGTGCCTGCATTAGGTTCCTATAAGTTGAGATAGGCTGTCCCTGATATCTCCCGCTTTCCTCCAAGGTTAAAGGGAAAGTCAACAAAACTGCTCGCTTAAGAACATAATGGTTTCTACTATTAAAAGCAGTAATAAAGGGAAGTACTTAATTTGAACCCCATGTGACTCATTACTTCCCACAACCAGCGAATCATTTTGGTAGTCAGTGTGCCAGCGCATCTTGCACTTACTTGCATTTAGCATAACAAACAAACCAGAACTTCAATGGATTGGCGAGAAGAGTCGAGGCATCGAGACTTCTCTCCGGGAATGTTTATGGGAGACAGGCGCATACCAAAAGATAGCTCTGCGCATCGCTGGCAGAATATTAAATCGAAGATGGCTGGCAAACAATTAATCGAGTTGCCGGTGTCCGGAATTAAGGGCGATTGATATTTCAGACACGCAGAACGCAGATTGAGCGACGCGTGCAAGACCAAAAGCCGATCGAGAATGGCTAAGGCTCAAGATTCGGATTCGGATGGAAGTCAACAAACAGCAGGCATCAAAAGGCTGTGTTGAAAGAAACAAAAAACAATGCAAATCAAGATTGAAATCGAATGCGACACAAATGCATGGTAAATGTTTTGTTCTTTGCGCCTCGCGGCTTGAGGTATATATGCATGTATATATATATTTATTCATGGGTATTTACTATACTACGTGTGTACATATTTCGATATTCGTTTATAGCGTTTTATGCACAGTTTTCTCTTTAGTTGTGACACAGAATTGCGTTAAGGATACAAAGATACATATTTAGAATAACTAGGAAACTTGTATCATCTGTTACATTCGGTATTCTATATTGCACTACAAAAAGCTCCAGCCGATAGCCCCCCGCCAAAGTCGGCTGAGTCAATTACTTAGTAATAAACATTTAAAAAATAAACTTTCGTGTGCCAAGCAAATTACTTGGTCAATATAAACAAATTCACTAGCTCGTCCTCCCACTCGCCTTCGCCATGACCCACACACAATTGGCTGCATTGTGTGTGCGCGTTTGCTTGGCGTACAATCACAGCAATCGAAATTACATACAAGAGATACGGTAAACTAAACAGGAAATCAAACTAAATTTGGCGTAGTTGCTTCATCTTTGTAGTGGCTGCCTCTATGCGCGACTGCAGAAATTGTAGAGCAGCAGTTTATCCTCGAAGTGATAAACGTTGTTGATGTGTCGCAGCACCCTGCCATCCACCAGATGTCGGGCATAGTGCACAGCCTCCATACGATCCTTGGACAGGCCGACCTCGATAAGCCAGCTGACAAACTCGGTGCCATAGAACACCCTGCGATACACTCGAATGCGCCACCTGGAAGAGTTCAAAGAATTTGTTACTAATTAGTTAATCAGTCTAGTCTATAAGCTATCTAGTCTATATCAAACTGTATGGAAATAAGAAAAATATGGCTAGGGAATCCTAAAAAATAAATTAAAACCACTTAAAATACTTACATCGTTTAACTCAAATTAAAATTATGGTCATCCAAAAAACTATTCCTATTGCTGCTTAATATTCTAAGGGCTTTAATTCAAAGGATTTATAAATAAGGAGTATTTATAAGGGAAACTCAAGTGTATAAACTCCCTATATTTTCTAGGAAAAAAAATTAATCCTGATCGGACTTACCTTCTGTCCTTGGCAATATCCTTTTTGCAGTTTTCCAAGTGATGGTTGCGGAACTGTTCGCAGATGTGCTTGGTTTCGGGACGTAGGTTCGACCAGTGGGGTAGACTGACGACATTGGCTCCATACCTTTAAATTTAAAATACACTAAAATCAAAACGAAAAAGGCATATAACCCAAACTCACCATAATTTGCGCCACAGCTTGACAACTGGCATTAATAGCTCGCCCATGTCCGTTATAAACACGGCCAATACAATCAAGCCCTGACCAAAGTTCAGGAAAGCATCGAGGAAACTGAGTTCCAGATATATGCCCGACATTCCCTCCATGACCAAGGTCCAAACGGACACCGCCAGGCCGACGAACATGGAGCAGAGTAGGATGATCAGCAGCACGGTGTGCTTTAGTGTCTGGTGTTCGTCAGTGTCGCTGGGATGCTCCAATGGCTCAAGTCCTCGCCTGTTCTGATCCTCATAGCGTTCGATGATCGTCTGACAACTTTGGCGTGAGGTACTTGGACCACAGTTAAAGGAACTGCTGCACATTTGATTGCGAATTCTGAAAGGGTATTCACATTTAAGTTATATCGCTTATAAACATTTACGTTAAGTTTTACTACTCACTCATCTGCTACAGGTGCACTTTCGATCTTGTCCACATCTTTGTTGTTGGCTCCACTGGCACGTTGACGTGTGCGATTCAACAGATCCTCAATGTCCACAACCACAGTGCTGGTTGTTGAAGGAGTGGTCACCTGCGCTCCTCCCGAGCAGCAAGTCCCATTGCCAGAACCACAACCTCCTCCTCCTCCGCCTCCTGATCCTGATCCACCTCCTGCACTGCCATTAGCATTCCTCCTGTTCGTTGGCAATCCCGCAGCTGTGGGTATCATTTCCTCATCGTCGGATGAGGATGAATAAGACGTCGTGCGAACACTCTGCCGGATGGACGAATGATCCGTGTTGCTCAGTAAATTGGTGGTGGATATTGTCGAATGCAAATCGGATGACTCTGTGAAAATATAAACATTTGAAGTTATTCAATTCGATCGGAACCGGTAGGTACCTACCCAACTCCGGATTGGACAACTCACGTGAATAGGTCATGTACTTTTCGTAGCGTTTCTTATAACGCTGATGCAGCACCAAACAACCAACAGTGACTGAAACGTATTAAATGTAGAATATTAGTTTAAAACTATATTAAAAACCTGCATTCAATTCCTAACAGTAATTATTTCAGATTGAAAACTTTATACGCATCATTATATAACCAATTAAAACCTTACAAATGGAAAAGACAGTAAAGTAATATTATCTATTCCACAATTAAAGATCTTAATGGTTTTGTTTTAACTCTTCAAATGCATGTAGGTTTTTCATCATTATTTTGTGTTACATTTTCTTAACTCCTAGTTCCCTTTACCTATGAAGCACATGACAAGCATAAAAACTGAGATGGCTGCCTGAGCATTGCCATACTGAAAGCTTGGATTATGTTTCTCTCCCGACATCACGTTTGAGTCAAAGGCAACCAAGAGGCCGGAAATTATAGCCGGCACGCCCCAGGCAAATACCAACTGTTAACGAAAAATTATTGATTCAATTTAAATATACAATTATTTAATGTTTAACAAATAACTTACCATATAGGGCCACAGTTTAAGGACAAAACACAAGCTGCGGCACTGCAGGAAGAGCAGGGAAATGGCCAAAAGTCCTGTCCACAGACGAGTGCTGTAGGTGCCGACATTGAAGAGGAAAAACTGCAGGTACAAGGGCCAACGGTTCACATGCTCCATTTTGGACCAGAGGATGACTCCTATGCAGCACATGAGCTGTAAATGACACGCTTATAATCCCATTAAAGAGCAATTAATTAGTGGTATCCAACCTGCGAAAGCACCAGACAGAAAGTGATTCTCTGCGGCATGCGCTTGAAGCGCTTCGTCACGATCAATAATACTATCACGATACAACAGGCTGCCGCACCGGCCACGCTGATGTCGAACGAGAAGGCGTCCAACTCGTGCAGATAGTCCAGCGGCTTCAGATTCGTCAGCGATATCATTTTCGCTGATATAAACATCAGTGGCGCTGAGATGAAAGTGCAGAAAACCATGCTACGAGCGACCTGAACAAAAGAATACATAATTAATGGGGAGCGGAATTTGAGGGTCTTTCATTCAATCTAATTACCAATTCAACCTCCATGTTGTACTGAGTCGCAATGACGAAAGCGCCTGGGGCAGCTGGAAAGGTGCCGTAGAGAAAGCCGAAAGTGCTCAGCTCGGTGGTGTCGTTGAAGTTCTGGCCGGACTGCATAATGTTGACTGTTTGCCGGATGACCAGCGGTAGCACCAAGCTGTGAAAACAACATACACATGCTGATCTTCTGAATAAATAAATATTTGAAGTGCAACTTACATTTTAACCAGTATGAGAACACCAGGCAATAGGAACCCAGTGCTCTTCTTTTCCGATCCTGTGCCGCCAACGATCTTCAGGCCAAGTAGAAACAGGGCTGTGGCCGAAAAGCTCTGGCCAAGGACACGCAAGGTACTGGACACCATTTCAGGCAGTCCTTTAGGAAAAAGGAAACCGCCTGCTACGCCCAGCAAGGTCATCAGCAGCAAGGGGTTGAAGAACAGCGCCACAATTGTGTTGAAAACCAGTATAGATCGTTCACCCAGGCAGCGATTCCGTTTGGCCAGCTGCTCCGCTGGACAAGTTTCTGGACACAGTGGTGGATTGCGGGTCTGAAAAGGTTCAAAGATTAGTATTTTAACGAAACTGTGATACTCTACACGAATACCAACCACATCTTCCTTGTTCTTGATTATTTTAGAGATCTCCATGAGCACCAGACCGATAGGATTTAGAATAGCCAGAGAAATGGGAGCCATCAGGTACAGATACGAGGCATATTCCGGATGAACATCCTTGTAGAGCGCCATAACTGCAGAGATACAAAAATAAAAGTAGCTTAAAAGAGTACCATTTGCATTTATAAGGTCCCAAGGCAATATACATACAATTTCTTAAACAAATTATTTCGCTTTATTGAAATCAAAAACGTTAAATTTTTAACTTCTTAGTTATCCCAATAAAACTAAACGACAACATCCCAGTAAGTTTGAGCGATAAGTAATTTAATGCAAGTTATAAAAACTGTTTAAAATAATACTGCCTAACCAAATTGTTCATTAACTCTCATGAACGCCTTTTTTTTTTAAATAGTAAATTAAGCGAAGTCGGTAATCGGTTAACTCGTGTCAAGTTTTAAGAATTAGCTATTTAAAATGCTTTTTTTATAGTCGTTAAATATTTATTTTTATAAAATATGACTAATAAACAAAATGGTTCCAAAATAATTATTGCATTTTCTATAGAAAGCTTTATCTTCGCTTTTTATGCAAACGCAAGTCTAACAAATAAGTAATTTAATGGAAATAATTTGATTGATCGATTATTTTAATGCTAGTTTACATTTAAATGCATATATTGGTTCCTGTTTTTTAAGTAACTAAACATCTGCCTAAGCTATATAGTCTTAAATATAAGATTCTTAGTATTATTAATTGATTTTTCTGTAATTGCTTGAAACCACAAGTAAGTAACTCACCAATGGGATAGCCGATGGCAAAGTCGTTGCTCTGCGTGCAGAAGATGGCCATGAGTCCTCCGCGGGCGTAGTTCAGGGGCCTGGCAACCAGCAGGGAGACGATCAGCACGGCGAAGAAGACCACCGCCTTGGAGACGAGCATGGCCAGCAGGAAGCTCCAGTTCACGGCGCTCCAATTGAGCTCCACCAGGGACAGGAAGATCAGCGAGGGCAGGGCGAAGGTGCCAACGAAGGTGCCCAGGCCCTTGGTTTCCGCATTGCTGATGATCTTGAAGCGTCCGGCAATGTATCTGCAACAAGGAGCGAGCAAAAGGAGAACATTACATTACATTACCACATTAATCGGGTTGTAAAGGCGTGTCGGGACACGCCCCCTGAGCAAAAGGTGTTTATTTATTATGCTAATACCTCAGCCAGCCGGAAAGGCGGAAACTCTTAATCAATGTGTAAAAGTGTACTACATGCATCCATACAAAACACAAAAACAATCACCAGTGCCACACGTGATCCCCTCGTAAACCAGTTTCGATTCAAGTCTGTCTCTTGGTTAACGAAAATTTGTAAACGTTTTTATTGTCGTGCGCGTATTTGTATTTCTGTCACACTGGGCGAGACAAATTAATTAATCGAGTGATCTGGAGTTGGGAGTACTTCCCCCAGCACTAAACGAACTAGTTTAGCAACCTTTACGCATGACTCAATACAATTTATTGCAATTACGCTGGATTTATAGCAGATGTTGTGGCTTTTGTTGTTGGGAAGTACCCAAGAAATCTCTTATCTCCGAAAAAGGCGCACTGCACATATTGATTTTATTGGCAGACGCCAGCTTCTGGTTTTGAATGACCGCATGAGTAATATAGTATAAATTCGTGAGAATGCCTTTCCTTGGAATGCGAAACACTTGTGAACATTATCTGAGTTTGTTTAGTGGGGTGAAGTTACACTACATGACTGATAAGAGAGCCTAGAAAGACAAATAAATACCCTAGTTACCATCTTTATGTAAGGGGAAACCCTGGCTAACATTTAAAAGAAAAACATTTTGTTATTTAATTTAGATGACTTGATAATACACATTATCAACTTAACTTATATCAATTATTTTAAACTCTTTCATTAATAGATACCTTAGACAAATCTGTGAGTTATGTTCCAATCAGACAAAAGCCTTTGTTTTTGGGTCTAAAAAATAAATGTTTGAACAAGTGTTTCTTCCTAAAAAAAAAGTTTATACTTCAAAACGTCAACCATTTTTTCCCTTATTTACTTTACTTATTTGACTGTTGAGCAAAACAAGTGTTCTAGAAAGTCAGTCGAGAGGAACAAAACCAAAATTAGTCAGCCTAGAAGAAGAAAACTATACTGATACACTTCAAAAAAACGGCTTTTAATGAGAGGTTGGAATCACCTTACGTGCCGAAACACAGTATACATAGGTTAATTAAGTTCTGTAACACTGCAGGGCGACCTTTCGGGAAACTCTCGTCTAGAAACCAATAAAGAACAGCTGCGAATGTCGCGATTAGAACGGTTCACATATACTTCGAAGAAAATCAATGCACAATTGCACTCGTTTTATAGCTGAATCTATAACCGTAAGAAGCTAAGGTATTTATACACCTGTAATTACGGGTAGCGCTTATCAGTTTATTCCCACTCTATATCACACAGTAAAAGTCTATAGCAAGTCGTTCAAATTCTCTCGTTCAGCACGAGCAAAGTAAGATTCATCAAATAAATGATTAAATATAATTTCGATCTGATAAGAGTCGTAAAATAAAATTTAATTGCATTACGAGCATCACTTAAACTGGAAATGATGTGTATCTTTCGGTTACCCTATAATTATAGAGTTAAACAAGCTGTGTATTTTGCGGGAAGAATTCTTTTGATGGGTGTCCTGATAAGATGGGATTGTGAAAAAGGTAAAACTATTTTAATTGCTGTTGCAAAATTTTTATTTTTACTGATATTTAAAACAATTACAAAATTACCTAATAACTACACACCATGTAATCAACACTTTTTTTATATTTTCTTGTTAGAAAAGGTTTAATAAAATCCAAAAAATGTTGCATAAAGTAACCTTAAATTACACATTTTTAATCATTTGTTTTAATTGGGAACACAATTTTCTTTGAGAAGGGTATTCTTACAGTTGAGAGCGGATTGGTTGAGTTGAATTCTAAAGTCAGATGCCAACGAACGCGGCGAGAGAACAGTTAAGTAATGTATAATCGTACCCGACTTTGTATGGCAGATATCGGTAATTGTTTGATTGAACAGTTGGAGGAGGTGCATCTGCCAGTTGGCCGGGCATGCATACCGCCTGTAATTGGCAGCGGTCGGTAGTCAAATCGGTAATTGCGGTTACATAATCCATTAAGGCAATGTGCAAATACTGCCCCAGGTGAAGTGTCTAGAAATTGTTTACAGGCTTAATACTAAGCACTGCATTGCAAGGTCATTTTTGTAATTGTTTTGCTGGTTTTTTATGTTTTTTCTCGCACTCTCTAAACGTTTTACTTTCGATTATTGCCCAATAACAATTAAGTTTCGGCTCAGATGCATATATAAAGATTGATATGGGAGCTAGGAAATTTACATATTCCGCACCCTATTGTTATTGAGCAATTTTTTGTATGTCAAATTTTTAATAGAGGCTTCACGGCAATTTCCCGGGAAAAGTGCCACGAACGGCGGGAATTAGTTCAGATTTATGAAATCGCTTTTAATTATAATTGCTATTAATAGGCGTGTAAACAAAGGGAAGCCAGCGGGTAACGGAAACAAAGAAATTCCCCATCATATTAGCCGGAACAAAAGGTTTAAAATGTTTGGATTTTTCAGGGTACTGATTAATCAATATCAGTTAACGACATACAATGACTAAGCGGCAGTTTTGTAATTTAAATAACCCTTTTACAGCCGCTAACAAATGAAGCATAACATTTTTCGCAATGCATCCGCAATTATACTAAGAACAACAACATAAATTTAAAATCCCAAGAAAAGAGGGTAAGAGGAATTTACAAACTAAACAAAGGTTTAAAATATATTTTATCTTTTTCCTCCTTTTTTACAAGTTACCCTCATTCAACATTTTAGACAGCTTGCTTTTGCTGACACGCCAAATTTAACCCAAATAAATCTGTTTTTGCGAATCGTAATTCTAAAAATATGAAAAATAATTAATCTGATTAAAGATAATTCTGGGTTTGTTTGAAAAAGCAAACGCTCCAATTGGAGTACGCACAGACAGTGAGACAGCAGTTTGCCGACGATTATAAAATTCAAGTGTCAATCGATAAGTGGGGGAAAACAAATCAGAGAAATTGATTCGAGACTGTGTACGGTGTACGACATAAGTGCTGGTCACTGTACGAGCAAGTGCACAGACAACTTTCCTTTGCCTCACGTACCCAGTAATCATAACGATAAGGTGATCTTTGTCAGAGTTTGGACCTTGCGTGGGATGTGGCAAACCATTACAAATTGGCAAGCCAACTATATTATTTTATTGTATGTATGCATTAGTAACTAATGTCTTATAATTCATTTAAAATAGATCCTTTGTGTTTTGTCTATTAATATGTATATTTTAACTAAGAGTCTCTAAATTTTGAGTTTTATATATTGATAAATATAAATTGAAAGTACTCTGGATGGAACTAGATTAATATTGTACCGTGGACTGGCTTTTATAGTCGAATATGTTACTCCAGCCATTCTTGAGCCATAAATAATTGAAATCATCATAGTTGTGAAGTTCCCAATAAACAGTACAACAAATTCTGCCCAACAAAGTAAACCATTTCTATTTAGGGTGGCTCTTCTGTACCTGAACATAACAAAGACTACAATATGGGGTAAAATCGATGGTTAATCTTATCGGTGAGGATGCGTGTGCCAACTATCTGGGTGCTAAGTTCCCTCCGTGGTTACTAACCCGCAAATGATGATGCCGAAGCATTGAACCAACGCCGGATAAAAGTTGTTCATGGAGACGCCTCCGTCATCTGCTCGTGGTGCTATGGTTCCATTGGCCAAAGATGAGGCCATGGTCGTTGCGATGACCCTGACATTAGCCTCTGTGCTCGCGGCGATTCGCTCCCTTGCATAGTACATGGAGCTATCCATTTGGGGATTACTTTCGAGTGGATTTGAGAGTGGGTGTTTAACAGTTAGTGGGCGACTTTCCTACGTCATAGCGAAATGGAAAAAAGCAGGGTGCTCCGCCAGCAAAACAGCTGATGCACTGTGACGTCAAAGGGCCAGCTGCAAATCTATCGAATTTTCGCTTTTTATCTTTTGCAAATCTTGTGCTCTATTATTTAACTGCCTTATTTACGCAGTTTTGTTTGGTTTGCCAATTTTTGTTGTTGCTCGATATTTTTAGCACTCTTTTTTGCCTATCACAAATGGCTGAAATTCGCAATGCCCGGCAGGCTGATTTCACTTTCATCTGTTTGAACGACGCATTTCAGATTTTTAGACCGCGGCACTTGCTTTAAGCAATTAACAAAATTGATTAATTGCTGCAGACTTAGTTAGTTCGGAGCTCAAAAGCGCCCGCCGATGCGTTTTGTTTTTAATTTACGATGCGAATGATAGGACCGCACTCATACCAGGTGCTGATATGGCTTTCCTCCAAGTGCCTTCGATGAGTTTCAACTAAAAAATCCAGCTCTCCCTCCAAAGTAGCATCACTGGCCAAGTCCTTTTCATTTACCACCAAAACTTTGGTTGGAACCTCGGAAAAGTCGTTTCCCAACACTTTCAAACTGTTTTAAACGAAATTAAATCATATTTATATATTGAAAAAGTCTTAACTATCCTTAATATCTTAATATTAATAAATACTTTAACCAAGTGATTGCTGAGTTAACTTATTAAAAATATTTTTTTAAAAATGTGACCATAGTAGATTAAAAAAAACAGCGTTTAATAACACTTGACATGGTCAGCACTATCCAGGAACAGCTGATCGGTGTCTGAAAAAGAAGAAGAAAATTAGTCATCAAACAAAAAGTTAAAACGAAATTAGCTGGAAAGTCCGTGGATTTCAGGTCAATTTTGGCACTTCAAAGATAAAAACCAATCAAAATGAATCGCCTTTTCGGTCGTGGCAAGCCCAAAGAACCGGGTCCAAGCCTAACTGATTGCATATCCGGAGTAAGCCATAAAAACATGCGAAAAACAAAGATATTATAATATCTATTACGTCTAATAGGTTGATGCCCGAGCCACAAACATTGAGGAGAAGATCAGCAAGTTGGAAGCTGAGCTGCGCAAATACCGCGAGCAAATGTCCAAGATGCGCGAAGGTCCTGCAAAGAATTCCGTCAAACAAAAAGCACTGCGAGTTCTTAAACAAAAGAAAGCGTAGGTTTTAGACCCCACCCTTTGTTTTTATATTGATTTATTCTTATTGTACGGGTTGAGACCTTCTCCGCCTGAAGTCACCTTCACCGGATCATTGTTTTCCCTTTTTCCAACTGGGATTTAATGCCAGCGAAGAAGTTAATTTATAAACCAATATTGAATTCTTATAATCACATTTTGCAACTGTGATCCTATGTTATTCAGTTGACTTGTGAACTACGTAACTTTGAAACGCACCTCACTCCCTTGAGGCAGATATTGATTTCCCCGAACTCCGTTTTTAAATTACGTATGCAAACCATTCTGTGACTTTTTCATTTAATCCTTTAGCTACGAACAGCAGGCGGAATCTCTTCGCAACCAGTCGTTCAACATGGAACAAGCCAACTATGCGGCCCAATCCTTGAAGGATACTCAGGCTACGGTAGCAGCGATGAAGGATGGAGTTAAGCAGATGAAGACCGAGTACAAGAAGATCAACATTGACCAGATCGAGGTGAGCCCACATACCTTTTTTCATAAATTTTCTTGTTTTTTTTAGTTATTTGATAAAATTTCGTTTTTGTGAAACCAAAACTCTTTATTAGAGACTATTGTACATTGTGATAAGATCGATACTGAATGAAGACAATGGTAAATTTTAACTTGGGCGGCTTAGTTTTTATCTATAAAAGCCTTTAAATAGTTTAATTGTGATTAAAGGCAACTTTATCCTCTATTTCGGTGAAACCGAACGTTGGGTACAAAAAATTCTAGATCGAATTCCATGTCTTCCTCATTCATCTGTAAGTCCTCAAAATATCCTTGATCTGGCTGTTGAACCTCCTCCTCTCTGGGCCATATGTCTAATGAGTGATCCTCCAAAGCTTCATTTATCATTTCTTCGATCGAGGGAAAATCTTCTTCAAGTCGCTGGCGACGCCATCGATCCAGCCTATTGATGTTTTGCAATTTATTCGCAGCGGCAGCTTTGGCCTTGTACTCGGCTAGCTCCTGATCGGAGTAGTATACAACCCTCACAGCCCGATCGTTGTCTTTCTCATAGCGCAACACAGCGTCCCACACGCAATTCATGGCGTTCATCTTCACCTTGACCTTGGTGCGCCGGCTTAGCTCCCTTAACTCCTCATCAGTAAACGGCCGAGACAAAGCTTCCTCAATTAGTGAATTGTTCATTTTCCTTTTGTAATTTCGGCCAACTTTTCTTTGGTGATCGCTTTCTTTTATTTTTTTTTTTATACAGTGCAAATCTTAATTTTGCCTTCTCAAAGATTATAGCTATCGATCGAAACCAGGAATAGTTATCGAATGCTTCAGTGATGAGCTTTCTGTCTTGTTTACTTTAATAGTCAGACAGGATGCGCATCAACGATTAAACAAAATGAGAACACCTAAAAAAACATTATCGAAAATCGCACACAGAATTTTTAAAGTTTTCTTTATTGTTCATAAACAATCATTTTATTCTTATAAAGCCAAAATTTCATTTAATATTCATCATATATCTGGCATATGGACAGTCGCTTGGTCTGAAATAGAAAAAAAATAGTCTTGATTGTATTTTCTGTCGGAATATTTTTTGAAATATTAAAAAAAAGTATTTTTTAAAAATTTTAAACAATAAAAAAATACCGCCCTTATGATCTTCTACAAGGGAGATCTGTTTAATTTCTTTACTGAGCTTATTTAAAATGGAAAATGTCATTAAGCTATTAAAACACATATGTAATTAACAATTCAGTACATTATTAATTTTAATAATTAAATAATATGTTCATACCTGCTACACGGATTTATTTATTATTGTTTTATATATTTTATATTTGTTTATATTTAAAGGACATCCAAGACGACATGGCTGATATGTTTGAGCAGGCGGACGAGGTGCAGGAGGCTCTGGGACGCACCTATGGCATGCCGGAGGTGGATGACGATGATCTGCAGGCCGAGTTGGACGCACTGGGGGATGAGATTGCCCTGGACGATGACACCAGCTACTTGGATGACGTGGTCAAGGCTCCAGAGGCGCCGAGTCGAGAGCCGGGAGCCGATAGCATTGTTCCTGGAAAGGTAAATTACTCTAGGAATGTTAAACTATATGTTACTAACTTATTTGTTTATCTTTTACAGAGCACTATTGAAACGGATGAATTCGGGTTGCCCAAGATCCCCACTTCTTTGAAAACCACATAGGCAAGAAGCTGCCACCTCTCAGGTTTCCATTCTGCATCCTTTGTTGAACTTTGGGCACGCTTTGTATATTTTTTGTAATGAAACCATCAAAGATTTCCTCTCAACCTCACTTTTGTACCCATTTGTTTTTTTCAATAAATAGCCGCGTAAATATCACGCCACTGTAATACAGAAATCTGGTTGGGTTGATATTGCAAAACGGAGTTATAATTATAATTTTATCAATTTTAATCCAATTTTTTATCCACCTTATACTAAGGTAAGATACAAATTTCCATTGATTTCAAATTTAAATCTCTTTACTATTTCTTACTAACTGGTCAAATTTGTTCGATTTTATTTCAAAAAAGTCATAAATATTTTTTTGTAGAATCTTGCTAATTTAGTTTTCTAGTTATAGAAAAAAGTTTCCCAAAATATTACTTTTACAAGATTCACTGTAGCTGTGCAACTGCATTTGGCGCTCTCTTAGCCGCGCTCTCACCCACAAAGAGAGAAAAGCTTACGCTCTTTTTGCTCGTTAAGCGAAGGTAACTGCGAGCTTTGAAGTTCAGAGCGTGAACTTGAGCGGCGCGCGTGTTTCGTTTCTCTGTCATCGCAAAGTGTACGAGTGTTAGTGCGTGTGATTATGGGCTAGTGTGCGTGAGCTGGTCTCAGTGCAGCAAAGTGCCTGTGTGCAAAAATATAACGTTCGCCGAGAGAGCCGAGAGAGCACCCGAACGCCACACGAGTCGATTCGGCTGCCAAATCGTGTTTTGCTTTGGGTTTTCGCGTGTTCGAACGTGCATCAACTCGCAAACAAAGTCTGACTGCGACTGCGGAAAGTCGCAAATTTTCTCCTGCTTACTAACCCTGCTAAAGAGGAAAACCTTCGCTTTTCAAACAAAATAGCAGCAACAAAAAATCAATTGTTTAAACGTAACTGTAACTGCAGCGCTCGCGCCAACCGACCGCCCGCCCACTTTCCCGCCCACCGTCGTCGTCGCCGTCACCGCCGCGTCGCCAATTAAACGCTTTGCTACCGATCAAAAGTGCAATCCCAAAATATCAAACAAATAAAATGCGTTACAAAGAGTTCTGAAACAAAAATCACGCGAAAATCTCGCAGTTTAAGTGGCCTTAGATTATTATTAAAATGTCAATTAATTAAATCAAATATCTGGTGGCATCTGACAGCCTTTGGTCGGCTTCCCGCCCTTCCCCTGACCACGCCCCCCGCCCCACAAATCAAGTGCCTGAAAGTTTAAATTTACACAACAATTTTATAAAATAAGTCAATAGTAATTATTCGAAAACTTGAAACATTGAAGTACTTTTTTTTTGGTACTGCCGAACCATTATGGATATTTCCCCAATTGGATTACTTTTGCTTGAGATGGTAAGTAGTAAAGTACAGAACGTTGTTTTCCTTTCGGTCAGCAGATCGCTCATACGCAGCGTTGCATTCGCGGCGGTAGCGGAGTTGCAATCGCCTCGAATGCAGGAAGCGAATAGCGCAAAAAAAGCTCTCTATTCATTTCGTCATCGGTGCACACACAATGCACATAGACGCATATACGTACATATTCCTACACACTCGAAAATTCATGAATATGTTGCAAATTAGATCAGGAATTCTAGAGATTAGGGAGTAAATAATTGTAAAAGTGCTTGGGTTTTTGGATATATAACCCCAACCTTAACCTTGCTGAAGAACGTTGTGGAACAGAGAAATTATAATATAGAAATACTAATAAAAGCTTTTCTTTGTTAACATATCGAGTATTTGATATGTTTTTAAATGAAAATGCGCGAATTGCTTGCTTATTCACCACACTGCATTACATAAATCTAAAATAATTTATTACATTTTTGGCTTTCATACACAGAATTTTTATGCATTACGTAGCATATGGAATCTATAACTTAATAAATAAACCCAATAAAAACTAAGTTCTTATATGAGGGTTAACTTGTGTTCAACAACTCTAACTTAAAATGTACAAAATAAACAATGAATAGTATATTTTAAGGCCTACAAATTTTTTTTTTTATAAATTATATTAAAACTAAAAATAATTGAAAAACTTGATTTGGTTACCCAATGTTCGCATTATTTTTTCATTAATTTCCTATAGAATTATGACTAATCAACGAATCATATCGGTAAAAAAAAACACAAATTTCGCTGAATTTCGATTTGGCAAGAAAACTTTTTTGCATGTTTGATTTTGGATTATGCTTGGCACCCTTCTAGAATTTCACAGCCCCAGCGCTGGCCCAGTTAAGAGTTCAGTTTTGGTTTTAACCAATTAACAGAATTCGATACAAAGTGAAGAAGCAATCAATAAAACCGCCAGCCACAGCAAATAAATTATATTTTGCTATTTTATACACTTTTTATGGCTGCAACATGTCAATCAGTTTCGTTTTTCGGCTTCATTTGTTATCCACAAATCCGATACAAAAAGTTAAAGAGATTTGCAAGTCAAAGTTAGGCGATCGGCCTTCGAAGGGGGCAATAAATAATGCCGCCTGACCTGAGGGCCCTGAAAAATACGTACTTCCTAAAATTTATTCCGTTTGACGCTGAGCAACAGAATCACTGACCAACCTCACCAAACACTGCCATTCCCCCATTCCCATTTACCAAAAATGAAACCAAAACAAGCAAAAACAAAAAGGAAGGCAAAAAAAAATCTAAATGAGATTTGCCAAACAAAACCGATAGCCCTGAGTCCCCCGTCGATAAGAAAGTTCGCGGAGAGCCCTCTCCCAGAATTCAGGGGAATCTCCTTCGTCATTTCAAAGCTGGGTGGGTTCCCATCAGATTATCTGTTTTTTTTTTTGGCAGGTAGAAGTAAAGAAAAAACCTGTGCAAGTAGGTATTATTTAATAATATCAAGTTCTTCCAACACTATCTGAATGAGATTTAGAAAGAGTGTGGGGAGGGAGGGGAGAGCAGATCGTGCGAGAGAGAGATGGAGAGAGTCAAAAACGTTTGCAAAGGCAATGAACGCGAGCTTTTGGCGTTTTCTTCCGATAACGGGCACTACGTACACAGCTCCCGCACACCAGCGAACCCCCGAACATCAATAGACCCACACACACACACACACACACACACATACACAATCGCCCGAGTTCGCTCAGTTTCGCGTCAGTTTTCCTCCCATGTCGCATGACCCTGGCCTGCTATTGAAGCTCTAGACACATTCGGAGGCCGATACAAAGCGCACCATTCAAAATATATACTAGTTATTGTCTATGCCCGCACACATGCCCGTTTGATACTAGTTGCCGGCGCAGTTGTACTATTCCAAGTACTCGCTTTTCTTGCCTTTCGGCTGCGAGTCTCCATTTGGTTTTCGTTTCCAAAATAAAGCGATAAATAGGAATCATGTGCGGGTGATGAGCGCTGCCAAAGTGCAAAGGTACAGGAGCGAAAAGCGATACGAAATGGAACTAAGTCTTCCATTTCAGCGGGTTTTTGGCCAACAAGTTCATCATAAGTGTCCACAAAATATTTTGTCATTTCATAAAATAATACTTTCAAGTGCAAAACTAATAGTATTTATCAATCTTATTTGTTGTTAAAAAACATTAAATATTTGTTCCTTTATTATTCAATAAGGTATAAAAGGGTTTCCAAATTAAACATTTTATCACAAGAAATTAGGAAATTCAAGACATTAAATTAAATTAACATTTATGTAGTTAATTGTCTTGTTTATTGGTTTTTCTTTTTTAATGAAAACACATATTAAAAAATTCTAATTAAGCCTTAAAAACTTAGTTTCGGAAAACTAATCGCTTAACGATTTTTAGCTTTTCAACATACATGTTGGCAATCATTCCAGTAAACCTTTGTCCTTGAAAAATATACATTTAAAACTGTACTGAACCTAACGAAAATCCTTTAAAATGCATTGTTGAAATTTATTTGCTTAGCCCCCCACTTCCTCATTCCCAAACAAAACATACATCAGCATGATTTACGGCTAGCTCAAAACTTCCCCGCCTTAAAAACAAATAGTCATAAAACTTGGCCAAAGCCCAATTGGCTAAGCCGCGAATGGCATTCCGTGATCTTGTTTGCTTCGACCAGCTGATAAGCGACCCATGCGGCGTATACTTGATAAAAATCGAACAGAACAAACACAGAAGCAACCTTAGACAAATCAAAAGAAATCCACTCGATGCCCCCACCAATTGTTGAAATATTTGTTGGGTGCTCTTGGGCAATCGTAGCCTTGCGATTGGGAGGTTTAAGTTTGGACCTAGGCCTTCTGCTTATGACAAAAACTAGTTCTAAGAGTTATGTGCCTGATATTACAAAAAAATGTCTATGAAAATCCCCCAGCAGATGCTTCGTGCCAATGAAGTTGATACCCAGCCCACAAACACACATGCTTTTTAACCTTAAGTCACGTTTGATTTTGGTGGGTCTGCGACCGCGTAATTTTGTTGGTAACAACATACGTTGTTTTCTTGGCATTCTGTTGCTGTTGGTGCTTTTGTTTTTGTTTTTGTTTGCCGCTTGCGGCAAGTTCAACAAAACACTGCTCGAAAAAACCCGGCCAAAAGCACATACTGCTGGCTCAACGCAAACTACTGCGGCCCGAAAAAGCAACGTACTTCTGCCCCCACAGCACACAATTCGGCACATTGAGGTTCAAGGCCCTTGGCCCCACAAAACGGAGTGGAGCGGAGCGTTCGACTCGGCAAGGCCAAGTGCAAGTCCAAGTCGTGGCTCAGTCCGTATGCTTTTCGTTATACCATACACCATACTGTATGGCGTATGCTATACCACTCTGATCATTTTTATCTAGTTCGTGTGTCACTGCGCGTATGATTTTCAGTTTTAATTATGCGCCTGCTCGGCTCAAGAGGCACGAAAGATAAAGCGTAGCCATGACAAACATTTACCCCAATAGGCCTAAAATGGCAAGGGCTCGGTGGATCGCTGGTTTCGCTGGGGCACGTGCCCAAAAAGCCAGCGAGCGGAAAAAGATTAATCAAAGAGTCAGCCAACAATAAAGTATGGCAAGTGCTGGCTGATGGGTATATAAAAGGTTTGGCTACTCTGTTTTGAATATTATATCATACATAATTTCATTTTGTATTTTAAAATGAATAGTTTGTTTAGTCATTTTTTATTTAAATACAAAGATATCAATAATTTTTACGAAAGTT